GAGGTCGCCGCTGCTTGAGTGCGCGAGTTCAGCCAGCGCATTGATTATCCAAATATGTGTGTCATCTTTTGCTGGCAGCCTGCAGCATGCGGGCCACGTCCTCGCTCGAGGATTTAATTTGAACACGCTGTGGCTGAAGTTGCGGTTTTCTTCGGCAAGGCCTACAAAATGCACCGAGCCATTTTCTCGGGCATGAGGGGTACAGCGTGGTGTTCAGGGCCACATGGTTACTGCCCTTTCTGGGCGGATATATTCTAGGTCAGATTCGAGTTTGCGATGCCGAAAACAAGAAATGCACTTCATTGCCAGCACCGCCAGGTTCCCAGGTTCCCCACAGAAGACGACTTCGCTTGAGACATCTTCACTGGACAAGATGTTCAGGAACGTGCTCAGTCTTAAACGGCGCATAAGGTTTACCAACCTGACGGTGTCGCCTGAGACATCCCCACTCGCGTCGCCCTAAATGACGATTTCGTCGGGGGGCTCCTCAGCCCGAAACGAGAGGTCAAGAAAACGTCATCGGGGTGAAATGCAAATCGCGACCCCCAAGGGAACGATTTCGCCTGAGACATCCTCAAACTGCATTGCCGTTGACTCCGTAGCCACTCGTGCCCAAGGAGGGTTTCGGCGACGCGTCGCCTTGTCGGAGGCATATCGGCATCGGTCCCATCCGTACTCCCACCAGCTCACCACGGCCAGTCGCTGAAGATGGCGAAGCAGCTCTCGCGCGGGGAGCTGTGGGAGAAGATCAAGGCGAGGAGTATCCTGATCAAGGCGCTTCAGAAGGCGAGGTGCCGCCTCGAGGATCGCCTCATCAAGATCAGGCGGTCGAACGTAGAGCTCAAGAAGGAAAATCGCAAGCTCCAGAAAGAAAACCTGAAGCTCCAGAAGCAGCAGCGCCGCACCTGAAGCGTAGAACTCGGGCCCTACGAGGGCCCTACGAGCCCGTTGGGGCGGCCCTTGGGGCGCGGGGAGGAGAGACGTGAGGAGGGAGGGGAAGGATGGAGAGGAATGCGCCCTGTCTTGTGCATCCAGTTTTTTGCCATCAGAGGCATTCGGGCTCAGAGGGCACAGCTCGCGCGAATCTCAGAGGGCCAGTTTCTCGGAGCCCTTTAGAGAAAACCCCCTTCCTCACCCCCCCCCGCTGCCGCCGCTGTATTCCAAGCGCTGCGCGCTTCGGCACTTCTGGGCGTATTCCGTGCGCTGCGCGCTTCGGCGCGCCGCCGCCGCCCCAGGGGCCCGAGGCTCCGAGGGCCCCCTTGCTGGCCCCGCGAGCTCCGCACCCCGCGCGCGGATCGTGCCCCACAGGGAGGCCCACCGCCCCTTGCTATATGTGGGGGTTCGGAACATACCGAAGTGAAGTAATAAGATGCACGTATGATGATTGCAAGGCGAGGTGCAATGTAATGTAAATAAGATACACATGTATGATGATTACAATGTAAATAAGATGCACGTATGTTGTATAGTATCTATTCGGCATGCACATCGATGGCAATAAAAAACGAAGGTTCCGACGCATAGCATTTTATGCGCATAAGAAAAACAAGCGCGACAACACTGTTTTCCTATGTGGACCAAAAGACAATAAAATAGGTTGCTTTTCTTCGCTTGCGTGAAACATAAATTCCTGGCCCTTTCTCGCTCTCCAGTGGACGTCCCCAGGACATCAGGGCTCCACCGACCTGAACGGCGGCTGACTCAACCGCGCTGTACACCAGCGGCTCCACGACGGGTCTGGGAGCGGCCGCGGTGCTGTACCACGTCACGTCGTCGATAGCGAAGCTAGGCAAGCTCGCTCTGGCCTCTCGGCTGGTGGCGGGGCCCGCCCCGGGCAGGGAAGCCGAGGCCTGGCCTCGCGAGCCTCCCTGCGAGACCGCGGCCGCAGGCGCTGCGGACGCGGCGGGGCCCGCACCCTCAGCTGCTGCGCTGCTGCGCCCTGCTCCAGGCAGCGCGGCCCCAGCGACTGTCTGCACGCCGCCATCCTCCACCGCGTGGTCCACGTCGAGCTCGGCGTCGAGGCATTCGAAGGGGTCCACATCACTGTCATCGAACCGCGCCGCTGCCTGCGGAGGCAGGCCCGCCGCTGCTGCTGAGGGCCCCCAGGCGCCCTCCGAGTCCTCATCGCTGCTGTCGCCGCCCCCGGGGCCCGAGCAGGTGGACATGCCATCGAAGGTGCGGTTCTGGGTATGGTCGCCGAAGAGCTGGGTGTGGAGCTCCAGCTCTTTCTGCATGGCGAGGGCGCGCCGCTCGTCGTCACCTCGCTGCCTGGCGCGGCGGCCGCGGGGGGCCTCCGCACGCGGCCTCGCCACCTGCGGCAAGCCCTTCGCCATCGCCAGCTGCCGACCCAGGAGGACGGCTTGGCTGGAGCGAAACTGCACCACGAGGCCGCAGTGCGTCTTCCAAGGGACTGCGGCGATGGCCCAGATGCCTGCCAGCAACGGGGCGCAGGCAGCGGAGCACAAGCCGTAGTCGATGTGCGAGCCGTGCTGGCCCGCGTCGCAGGTGGCCGTCACGTCCGCCTGCACCACCTGCGCGCCGATGCGGCGCAAGAAACCAGCCTGCTGCAAGGTCTGGTGCGGCAAGTTGAAGTCGCCGATGACGAGCCAAGGCGCCCTGACGGCGCGGAGCAGGGCACCAAGCTTGCCGAAGCGCCGCAGGCTGCTGCCGCGCCAGCCGACCCCGCTCACGCCGTAGAAGGTGACCACGACCACCTGCCTGTTGCCCTTGAGGTGGAGAACGCTGGCTTGGAAGCCGTCGGCGGACTCGGCACCAGGGGCAGCCAGCGCTCGGTCACCGCTGCCCTCCAGCGTGTGCAAGTGGTGGCCGCGCCTGCGCAGCAGCCACTCTCCTCCCTCGGTGCCGCTGTCGGCGCCAGTGCCTTCCAGCAAACCACGCCTGGAAGGCCGTGCGTGATTGGCCATGATCTTCAGGTCGAGCTTCTTGGCCTCCCGTCGCCACTTCTCGAAGTGGCCAGCGTGCACGTGGGTCTCGGCGAAGCTGAACGTGCCGAAACGGTTCAGCGACTCCCCCGCGAATCCCCAAGCCTGCGGTCCCATCTCCGTGACATTCGCAAAGAATAATCGATGGCCACCGTCGCCTCCATAAAACTCGAGGCTGGCAGCCCCAGCTGCAGCCTCATTCCCCTCAGCCTGCTGCGCCCCCTCGTCACCTGGAACGGCGGACGCGGAGGAGGCGCCCAGGCTGGCGCGGGTCGGGCTCCCAGGGGCCCGCGTCAAGCCAGCCCGACCCGCGGCTGCCTGTCAGGCCACGGCAGTGGGGGCGGCAGGGGCCGCCGCGGCCGACGGGGAGGCGGGGCCGCCTCCAGCAGGGGGGGCGCCTCCTGCCTCCTGGCTCGCTGCGCTCGGCGGGAAGGCGTGGGGACCCGCCGAGGCTGCCGCGCCAACTGCAGCAGCTGCGCGTGCCGCACGCGCGGCTGCGAACTTGGCGGCGCTGAGCACTTTGGCCGCCGCGGCCAGCTCGGCGTCGCCGCCGTCGCCGCCAGGCTGCGGGCTGCCGTCGCCGCCGACGTCGGTCATCTCCTCGTCCTCAGCGCCACCTCCCTCCTCGCGCAGGGCAGAGGGGGAGCCCGCGCGGCGCTTCCTGCCGCTGCCGCGCGAAGGAGCCAGCGCTGCCCTGGAAGCAGCGAGCTTGTCGCGGACCTGCTTGGCCTTGGCGGCCAGCTCCACCTTGGTCGCGACGAGGGACTTCTCCAGGTTCTGCAGCTCGCCCTGCTCCGTGGGCGAGAGGCCCTCCATGTTGGTGAACACGTCGGGGTCCCAGGAGAGGTGGAAGAGGTCGTCCGGGACGCCCGTCGCCCTCGCCACCTCCGCTGCCTGGCGGGCCATGGCCGCAGCAGCGACGGCCTTGGCACGGTCAGCCTCCGCAAGGAGGAGCGCGAGCTCGCCCTCCTTGACGCGGGCAGCTCGCAGCTGCTCCTCGAGGCGCAGCACCGCGTCGACCGAACCTTGGTGGCGGCGGGCTGCTTCCTTGTGGAGACCCGACGCCTTGCGGAAGACCTCGTCGGGGGGCTTCTCCGCTTCTGCAGGGGCCGCGGGAGGCTGCGGCTCCGCCAGCTGTTGGACCAGCAGGATGGCCGCCTTCGCCTCGTCCGCCTGCGGGGATGTGCTGGCTTTCTCGGCCAGCTGCGCCAGGAAGGACGAGAAGTCCGAGCCGTTGGAGCTCGTCTCACTGCCGCCGCCACCATCCAGATGCCAGGGGCATTGGCCAACGCCCTCGCGCGACTGCCGCGACGGCCTGCGAGAAGGCTGGCGGCTAGCAGCGCGGCGTCGGAAGGTCTCGACCTGAGCGCCGCAGCTGCACTTCCAGTGCGCCTCGCCCCAGGTCTCGTTCCACAACCAGCGCCTGCAGGAAGAACAGCGAGTCCAGTCGTCGATGAAGGACACCGTCCGCTGGGAGCTGCCTCCGCCGCCAGCCCCAGCGCTGCGCAGGGCAGGCGAGCGCGCAGCAGGCTTGCTGCGCCCCATGGTTCGCACCGTATTAGTCGGGGAGAGACTCGGCGGGCTGCCGCGGCGACTCTCCCGTCGCCAAGAACGCGTCGCGAACGCTCGGTGGTGGCACGAAGGCGGGAGGGACACCCGCGTCCGAGCCAAAACGGTTCTTGGGACGAGGAGGAGGATGAGGAGGAGGAGGAGGAGGAGGAGGAGGAGGAGAGTGGATAGAAGACAGAGGAGATAGGAAAAGGAGGAGGAGGAAAAGGAGGAGGAGGAGGAGGAGGAAGAAAGAAGGGGAGGAGGAGGAGGAGGAGGAGGAGGAGGAGGAGCAGGAGCAGGAGCAGGAGGAGCAGGAGGGGGGAGAAGGAGGAAGAGGAGGAGGAGAAGGAGGAAGGATACGGAGGAGGAGGAGGAAGGAGGAGGAGGAGGAGGAAGGATGCTGAGGAGGAGGAAGGCGGAGGAAGAGGGAGGAAGAGGAGGGAGGAGGGAGGAGGCAGAACGCCGGGGAGGGCCGCCGTTGCTCCAGCTGGCCGCGCCCTCCGAGAGGCGTCGCAGCGGCTGGCGGAGGAGGAGGCCCCCTGCGCAGAGGCCCAGGCGGAGGCGCCCGCCCCCCGCCCCCCCCTCGCCTCGCGGGAGCGGTTGGGATGGGCGTTCGCTCACTCCTCGACCCACGGCGAGTGCCCTTCCAGGCTTCTAGGGGTCGGGGGAGCGTAAGACCCGGGTTTGCCAGGACTCGGGTTCGCCGTCGTTTCTTGACGACCGCGCCTCGGATTTCGACGAGGAGGAGTTCCGTGGGACGTCTGCAGCGGGAGGCCTCGTCAAAATGCAGGCTCGGCCTCGTCATTTTTTCGACGACCTCGTCGGGGATTTCCGAGTCCCCTGTACCCAGGTCTCACGTCCCCCTGAAGGGGGGGCAGGAAGGGGGTTCAGCGCCTCCCGGGCCCTGGGGCCCCGCCCCCCTCGGGGCTGCCGTCGCAGCGAGGTCGTGTCTGTGAGCCACGTGTGCATCCGGGCGCACTCACAAAAGGTCAAAGAGCTTCAGGCACGGCGATGCGCCCTTGATAACCCCAAGACAGCAGCGTGGCGACAGCCATAGCAGTTCGAAATCGCCTAGCAGGCCCCCCCCCCCTGCTTCTTTCGCACGCGTTGACGGCACGCCAGCATTCCTGCCGGCCACTGCCCAACCACGGCATTTACATTCTTGATGGGTTTGGGAAACCGTGCTTTTGCATGTTTGTTGAGTTTCCGATGTTCACGTTATTTGCATGTTGGGTGGTTTTATGCATGTAAAGTGTAACGGCCGAGCATCCATGCGAACGCAACGGGCCCAACGCATGGGAAAGAGTCAAGGCTCGAAGTTCGGGGTTTTCAGGAGTTCTTGTCGGTTCTCGTCGGCCCTCCATCCTCCAGATGCCTTCCAGCGGCTGCGCCTCGCCGAGGGCGTTCCAGTGGTGCCTAGATTGTCCCGAACGGCCGCCAGAGAGCGGAGGTGTGACCCGAAAGCGCAATTTCCAACGTATTGAAATGATCAAGATGGCGGTTTCTTTTCGTTCTCCGTCTATGGAGCCCCTCGCCATGCCCCTGCGCCGTCAACAGAATTGCTTAGAATGGAAAACGGGCCCTTGGGAAGGAGCCTGGACTTCCGAGGACCCCGCATCGGAAAAAACAAGACATCGGATCTGGGTTTCGCCATTTTCTGGCTTCTGAGGACCTCCACGGGCCTCGGGTTCGTCAGCAAACGACTCAGGACGAAAAGTTGGTCGCGGGAAAGGCCCCGTGGAGTCCAGAGTTCATTTCCTTCAGAACCCGTTCCCTTCATGCCAACCTCCTCCCTTCGGTAAAGAAATTCTATGCACCGATCTGCCAGTCGATCGAGCGAATGATTGCTGGGGAAAGACGACGAGTCTTCGAGGGGGCGCCCGCCCGCCCTGTGCCCTGCTATCGAGGAGCAAGCAACAGCACGGGCGTGCAGCTTTCCGGACGTCCGCGCGGACGGGCGTGCTCCCGCCGTCTTGAGATGCGCGGGTGCTCTTGGACCCGCGCGCAGCCGAAGAATCGGGGTCGGCCCTGCCACACCAGCCAACGTGACTTGTAGATAGCGGCCGCCCCCTATTTAAGAGAAGGCACCGCGGACTAAATTAGCATCTCCCTCGGGGAGGAGGAGGAGAAAGAGGAGGAGGAGGAGGAGGAGGACCGGCGCAAACCCAAGATTCAGCAACGATATTGCAATCGACCCTCCCTCCAAGTTCTTCTTCATAGGCTCCTGCACGGATTCATTTTTACGGAGGGGGATGCCCCGTTGGAAGACCCTCGCTTGAAAATTTGGAATTGTGCCAGATCGCCATCCTTGGGACTTGAAAGTGCGAATCCCCGGAATTGTTGCGTTTTGACCAGCCTGCATCGCGCCAAAAAGCCATTCTTGGGACTTCAGCGCTGCGAATCAACGTGGCTGTTGCGCCCTGACATTCCGACACTATGCCAAAACACCATTTCTGGGATGCCAACCATGCGAATCCCTGAAGCGCTTGCAAACTCTTGAGACGAATGTGCGCGGCGCTAAGGCGAGAAACACATTTCGAAAGCGGACTGACCTCCATCCGTGGAATCCATTCAGGATCATCAATGGCGAGGAAGGTTACGGCGAAACGCACGGCACGCCCTTTCGACCAGCCTCGGAGTGCGACAGTGGGGAGTTACTCATACGGAAAACGAATGGAGGAGTTGGAGGACGATGACGACGAGGAGGAGGAGGACGAGGAGGAGGAGGAGTAGGGAGGAGAAAAAGGAGGAGAATGAGGAAGAGGAAGTTTTTGGGCGGCGTTGATTCATGGCGCCTCCAGAGGCCTCCAGGCCCTGTCGGGTGCGCACCTACTGCGCAGGTTCGGGCCAGACCCTCCAGGCGCTCCGGTGGGCTCTGGACTGTTTTGGAAACGCGTGGAGAAACAAAGTGCGCGGCGGTTGTCAGGAGACCGGGTGGCCTGGGATGAGGACTTTCTGGTTGCTCCCGCAGCGTTCCAGAGCGCTCTCCGAGCGTTCTTTTGAACGGCCGTGTCGCCCGATGCCTCCTGCAGACCCGCAGGCTCCCAGAGGTTCCCGACCTATCCCTATCCGAAGGGTGGCGCTGGGCTCCGGGGGGCCTCCGCGGAGACCCGGGGAGCCCAGGCCACCTGGATGGGGCCCGAGCAGACGGGATCGGAGGACCGCGCCGCATCTTCGATGCATCGGCGACGCGGTGCTGTTTGGAGCCCGGCTCTTGGCATAGCGGCATACCCAGACGTCCGACGATCAGATTTTCCCCGTTCGCGCCGCAGATGTCTCGACGCCTTTCCCGGGGGCCAGCTTTTCGCCCCAGATCCGTGCTTGATGGTCCTGGGGCCCGATGGTGGGCCCCGGAGGCCGAAATCGAGGAAAAACGACCGGACTGACAAGATCAGATCGTCGGAGCTTTGGGGTCCCATCTGCTCCGACACCGCTTTGCAGGTTCCATTTCCAACCGATCGATCAGAGTCGATGTCGGTCTGACCGGACCGAGCCAGATCCGATTCCGATGTTCCGATGGTCTGGTGCGCCCCGATGGTTGCATGGCGCCATTGTGCATTCAGGCGCAGCCGATTAAATTCAATTCCGACTCTGTGCTGATGCGGCCCGATTCGACGCACATGGCGCGCTTCAGAAAGGACCGTGCCTTCGAGGATCGAAGGAGTTACCATCTCTTTCACGGCGAAAGGCAGCGAAAGGGCGGTGGAAGCCAGCGGAAGCTCGAGGAAGTAAGATTCTGCTTCCATGAGCTGGCAAGGTCCACCAAACAGTGCTTGCACTTGGGGTTTCTCATTTCTCCTCTAAGGAACTGGGCCTGCCTGGCGGTCTGGCGGCTCTGTGCCCGCCGTCGCCGCTTCGTCGCCGCCCATCGTCTGGGCCTCGCTGGCGGTCTGGTGGCTCATAATGGTTCCGTGCTCGCCGTCGCCGCCCCGACGCCGCCTCGTCGCCGCCCGTCGTCTGGGCTTGGATGGCGGTCTGGCAGCTCCAGTGTCGAGTATTATGGCTGTTGATTGTCTGACGAAGAATATGCCGACGGATTTCCTTGTTAAGATCTTACGTACTTGTTCGTAGGATGTAACCCCAAATCCTGAATCTACCTCAAAGAAGGTTAAGAGACAACTGGCGAGAGCCAGAGTGAATGCTATCCTATCAGGGAGGTAAGTGACTGAGTCCTGTCTGCCTTGACTTGCGATCCCAACATGGGAGTGCTCCTTTTTACCTCGACCAGCGCATGCGCGACGTGTGCATGCGCACCGTTCGCCGCCGCTTGCCGCCGTTTGACCTTTGGGGGCCTTTTTTTGCCATTGCGCTAAAACGCATCATGATCACAGCTTCCCTTCGGGATCGTGCAATGTGCAATGTACACGCGTTTCTACCCAGTCGTTCATTTTAGATCTCCATTTCCGCGGATGGAACAAATAACGCGAAACTGTTTCATAACGTTGGAATTCCGCCATTCAAAGTCCGCGGGTTCAAGCTGGGCACGATTGGCGGCCGCCGCCGAACATGTTACAAGTAAACGCGAAGCACAAGTGCAGGTTTGTTGAGATCCATCTTGTCGTGGCCAGGAGTGCATTCATTTTCTCTCAACGGCGGAATTCCAGCGTTATTTTGCGGTTCTGCGCGAATTGTTTACATCCACGGCCTTCCGGTAAGGCTGATCCGAGGACCCCATCTCAATCTCACGCGCCGACGAGATCGCCAGGAATGGTGCTCTGGGACGTTGTGTTGTTTTCGAGATCTTGGGATCGCCAAGAATGGCGCTCTTAGGGCGTTATTTTTTTTTCTGGTCCTAGCCTGGCTATGACGAAACGATGATGGGAACCACGAAATGCGATGGGGCTGCAATTTCCCAACGTTACGAATGACTTCGTGGAGCTCTGGCGCAGGACTTCCACACCAAAGCGACGCCGATCATTACGTTGAGTACTCGTCAACTAAAGAACTCAATTATTCTGCCGTACGAGTTCTCTATATTATGATCGGCGTCGTTTCGGTAAGGCAGTCTGGCGCCAGAACTTCAACAAATCATTCGTATAACGTCGGGAAGTTGCAACCCTATCACACCTCGCGGCTTTCATCCGCGTTTTGCCATAGCTAGGCTAAGACTGAAAAGCTGGAAGGTCCCAGAACGCCTGTCTTGACGATCCCCGGAGCGACTCGTCATAGCCAGGCTAGCGAAGAAAAGCCCCAGAACGTCCCAAATTGTTGTTCTGGGCGATTTCATCGGCGTTTCGCTTGAGCCAAGCGCGATCCGAACATATTGTAACGTTGCAGCCATTGCAGCCCATCGGGGCCACATTGCCTGATCGGAAAAGTGCCATAACGGTTGACAGGCGCGAGACCCACCTCGTGTATAGAATTCAGAAAGGGCCATCGGATCAGCCTTGCCAGAGGCCGTGGGTGGAAATTATTAACGCTAAACTGATTCGTGTCGTTCGAATTTCGCCACTCAAAATCCGCGGGTTCCAAACTTGGCACGATCGGCGGCCGCCGCCGAAAATGAAAAAAATCAAGGCGAACCACAAGTGCAGGTTTGTTGAATCCCATGTTGTCGTTGCCCAGGGTGCTTTCATTTTCTTTGAACGGCGGAATTCCAACGTGATTGTGTGGTTTCGCAGTAATTTGTTACATCCACGGTGGCGCCATGCCAGTGAAACCCCGTACCGACCCCAGATTCACCGCTGTCAAATTGTTTTCCCAAATTGTTTGTTTCCGAGAGCCCCTGGCAAAAATTGGCAACTTCCACACGCGCGCGGCGTCGCGCGCGCATGCCGGAAACCTTCAAAACCGTTGGTGTCGTAGGGGGTTCAAGATCGAGGTTCCCGAAATCATCTGAAAACAAACATGGTTTAACAACAACATTGTCACACAATTGCGCGCGCGTCCCTTTGAATCCGCAAGCCAGCCATTCGTTGTCCAACTGATTCGCCAAATGAGACCATGCGGGCCTCCCGCGCGCGCGTGACGAAATCATTCGACCGCCCTTGCGCGCGTGATGTTGGGGCACAGTCCTTGTCAAAAAAATACGCGGGCCAATCGCGCACGTCGGCCATGTGCGCATGTCGAATCCTATCAAACTCTTCCGCAGCGTGGACATCACCATCGGGTGACCAGCATCGGTGCTGTCATTCGACTCGACGTCGTCATCGTGGCCATCATCGATGTTCGCATCATCGTGCTCGCCGTTGTCGACGTCGCGATGATACAGCGCCCGCTCGAGTTACTTATTCGCACCGAAGTGCCCGCGCGTCAGCGCGGCCCGCGAGCCGCCTTGGGAAGTCCCCAGCGGTCAGCGCCACCGCGGCAACGTCGGTCGCGCCAGACTGGCTGGCCGCTTTTTGCGCCAGCTTGCGCGCGCTGGCGCGGCGCAGCGATGCGCCAGCCAGCGCCGATCAACCATCGCAAACGTGCTAACTGTATTGCAGGTGTGTTGGTGGAGTGATTGCGCGGGCCATGGAGTTCAACATTCAAGTTTCTTCAATTTTACTGCGTCACACATATGCCCCACAACTCGTGCACATCAGATGTTGCCCAACATTTATTGCACAGCATATGCTCCACCACATACATTGCACCACGTTGGTTGTTCCATCTAGATTGCACAACCTACAGTATTAGAAACACACCGTTTAGGGTCCGCGTTGTCTGTCATATGTTGGTTTCGGGGTCGTGGAACACGCCACATGTTGGGTTGCGGCTTGATCCGGCTTCACGACCCGATGCTTGATTGATACTGTTTGTTGGACGGCCTTTCGCCCAGGAGGCGGCGCCTGCCGCCGCCGCGCGCGGCGCGGAGGGGCTGCGCGAAGAGCTGCGGGCGGCGAGGCGCGAGGCGGCGCGGCTGGCCGAGGAGCGCTCTGCAGAGCTGGAGGGCATGCGGGCGCGGCTGTCGCAGGACCGACCGGGCGCGCGCCAGATCGGCGATTACAATGGTTGCTATTAATTCTTGACGTTTCGCGTATCCCCACCACGTGTCAAGTGAGTGGATCCGGCACGCTTCCCCCTAGGCTGTGCTGCCCTTCCCCCTCGCGCCTCCCTGGCAGTCGGTACTCCACCTGCGGGTCCGACCTGTTTCCGCCTGCACTCGGTTGCCCCCCTCTGCTGGCACACCAGCGGTTTTTGGGGTCCGCGTGTTGGCAGCAAGGCTTCGGCTGTCCCCATCGCGGTTGCCCTCTTCTGCTGACACACGCTCAGCGGCTGGGCTCGCGTTCGGTTCGCCCCCACCCGCGGGCTGAACCGTTGCCGCCTTTTTCTAATTATCTGCAGGTGCACTCTGCGCGGTGTCGCGCCAATTATCTGTCGCTGTGCCCCAGCCTCGGTCACACCGCCCTCTGGACTTCTCCTTGCGGGCCGCGAATCAAAAAAGTATCCCCACCAACCCATCCAGAAACGATGCCCATGAGAGTTGACGGGGGGAGACAGGAAGAGACACGCATAGTAACACAGCGAAGGAGGCTTGGGAGTGGCCATCTCGAGCGGTCTTGGAGCGGTCTTGGGGCTGCTTGGGGCATCTTGGGAGCCATCTTGAACCAGGGTTATCTGAGCCATCTTGGAGGTCATCTTGGGCTCTCTGAGGCCGCTCGGGGGCCTCTTGGGTGCCTCGCGCGTGCCTTTTGGAAGCCTCTTGGGGCGCTTTTGGAGCCCTTTTGGTGGCCTCTTGGGAACGCCTCTTGGGGCCATCTTGGAGGCGGTCCGTGAAAAGAGGGGGAGGTCCTCGATTTCCCTCCCCCCCTCGGAGGCCACGATCCTCGTGAGAGGTGTCAAGAATTGGTCCTCCCAGGGGCCAAAGAGAACCCTCTGACACCTCGCGGCCCTTCCCAACAAAAAAAACTCAGGGAGGGGAAAGGGAGGGTTCCCCTCCCCGAAGGGAAGAGGGGCTGTGGAAGAGGAAGGAAACCCTCCTTGACCACCTGTCGCCCATAGGGCTGTTGGGGTTGCGCCGTGGTGGCATTTGCGATCGGCGCCGTTGGGGTTCGGGGATCACCACGTTGCGCCAAAGGTTTGGTGAGCTCTCGTCGGGGCGCGCAGAGATCTCCGTCGAGGTACTCGCCCCCCCCCCCCCCCCCCCCCAAGCGCGGGTCGCCAACTACGCCTTGCGCTAACCACGCCACCTTTCGGAGTAGCCGATCACAGTTCACCTGGCGCCGATCTCTTCCAGGTTTCGTCTTGGCCATGAGGGACAGAGAGTCGGAGGCCAGGGGCAACGTCAGGCAGGGATTGGCTCAGGAAGGAAGGTCTGAGGTTTTAGGTTCTCGGGCGTTTTCTTCAGTTCTCGTCGGTTTTTCAGCCTCGTGGTGCTTTCCAACACCCGCGCATCGCCGAATGCATTCGAAGGGTGCCCATATCGTCCGAACGGCCGCAACAGAGCCGAGTTATAACCCGCAAACCAGGGGCAACGACATGGGGGGAATAGGCTCAGGGTGCCGCCAGAGAGCCGAGTTGTGCTCCGAAAGCCAGAGGAAACGAGTCAGTGGGGATAGCCTCAGGGTGAGGCGCATCGACCCCCAATCGCCCATTCATCGCCGATGTGGGGCCCGATAGCCCACCCCGCCCAGGAACTGTCGGATTCGCTGTCGAGGTCCTGTCGCCGATCTATCGGCGATGTATTGCCGAATTCCAGCTTAACGCTTCCCCCCCTGAGCCGGACCCACCCTCGTTAACGCTCCCCCTGAGGAGGCTGATGGAGCCCCCCTCCTGCCTGGGCGATTCGCGCGGTGCCCTTCTTCGGTTGTCGAGATGGTGCTGCGGTCACAGTCTCTGCGGGCCTACGCCCGCCAGGTCGTGTCCCGGGTCGTTTTCACGGATATGCGACGTGCTAAAGTACGGGGCCCAAAGGAATACACCACCACCACCTCCCGCTTTCCCTCCCTCGCCCAGGAAAGAGGAGAGGAAGATGAGGGTGGAGGAGGGAGGAGGAATCGACGTGGTGGTGGTGTGTATTCTTGGGGCTCGCATAAAGTGGAGTATTGTCACCCCCGATTCCACCACATAGCTTGCATCGCACAAGTTTCCCCCAGAGCGCTTGCACCACCTGGATTGCAACACGCAGCTTCCACCACAGAGCCTGTCACAGGGCGTGCTCAAAATCGATGACCGAACCCCTCCCGGGCCCCGTCCGGCCAGCCGTGGCCACGGGAACCCCCAGACCCCCGGGAAGGAAGTGTGGCCCCACAGCCATGGCTGGAGGAGACGGCTTGGGAGGGATGGGTATTCGAGGGGTCGGGGGGTGGCACCCGTGCCCAGGTGAAAGAAAAACTTCCGCGACTGGACAGCGCGGATCTCGCGCCCATGCTTGAATTCGTGGGCGGAAGCATGTCCGTAGCCACGGCCTCGCGGGCCTGGCCTTTGGGCCACTACCCCTTGGACACGGGGGATGTCTTCTTGCGGATGCCCTGCGCAGAACGCATCCGTGCGGGCCGCGTATCCGCATGATCGCACCCCAGATTTAGTCCGCGAGGACGTGGACGTGGCTAACCGCATGCCCCGGATGATAAAGCCACCCCTTTCCCACGATCATCATGATTATCCCTGGCCAGGACAGTGTTGGTCAGCGGTGGGGAGCGGCGGGGCCGATCTTCATATCGTCGGGGGGAGTTTGCATCGTAGATCGAATATTCTTCTCATAGCAATCATCATCACCACCATCATCATCACCACCATCATCATCATCACCATCATCATCATCATCATCACCATCATCGTGGTTATCATGATCATCGTCGTTCGCTGAGTTGGTATCAACTGCCCGCAAGACTCCACATCTTGAAGCCCCCGAGAGCTTCGGAGGTTGGCGCCTCCCTGCGCTGCAGGAGGACCTGCGCCTTCGACAGCTCCGCGACGCCTCCCGCGCGTCGGCGGGCCGCGCCGCTGCGCTGCAGGCGCCGGGCGCCTGCGGCGAGGAGGGCGACGCGCTGGCGCAGCTGAGGGCCCGCGTCGAGCGGCAGTCGGCCGCCGCCGCCGAGCTGCGGGCGGCCCACGACGCCGCGGCGCGAGAGGCCCTCGGGCGGCCCTCGGGCGGCCCCCGCCGCCGCAGCGGCCCGCTGTCGCTGCGCGGCGGCCCTCGGCGGCCCTCTGCGCGGCGGCCCTCGGCGGCCCTCTGCGCGGCGGCCCTCTGCGCGGCGGCCCTCTGCGCGGCGGCCCTCGGCGGCCCTCGGCGGCCCACGCGGCCGCGGCGAGTGAGGCGTGCTGCGTCGCCATCGGGGGCCTGTCGCCGATCTCTCGGCGATGCATCGCCGAGTTCACGTCAACGCTGCCCCCCGCTGCACTGGGCACGTCGAATAAGCGATCGGCCGGCCTGCAGATGCCCCACGGGAGCTCATTATTCTCCGACGGCCCTCGGGGCCCACGAAGCCTTGGGGCCCCTCGGGAAGCTCAAAGCTGGACGACCAGCGTGCCCCACAGAAACAGAAGTTGACTCCTGTGTGACTTCTTGTAGCGAAGTGCCGTTGCGTGATACCTGACCCCGAACCAACCCTCGAGGTCTGTTTTGGATGTCGCCGCGGCGATCGTGGCGGCCACAACTCGGGGCAAGGTTCTTCTCACGGGGTGGCATGCCCCTTCCCGGCCCCCCCCCGCTGTGCGATGTAGGCATGGCTCATATGATGAAATCTATCGACAGACAGCCGCCAATGTTTGTCTTACATGGGCAGTCGTATTTGTTTTAAGGGGTCGATGGCCACGCAACCCAAACCGGTCAAGGCGAGAGGAGAAGGGCAAAACCGCTCGGTCCTCCCAGGTTCAATCTGGTGCAGCTGTTCACGCTGGATCCGTTCTTGAGTTCGGGGCCCGAGAACGCTCCCCTGAGACCGAAAAAAAGGCAACACACCATTGCGAACCCAGAGCCTCGAATCTCTCTCCCCCCTGCTGGTCGGAAACAGTGCTGGACCACCTCAGACCCCCAGATGGTTCCAAGTCAGGGCAAGGCTTTCGTCAAAGAATGGCGTGCCCCTTCGCAGCCTCCCCCCCGCTCTGCGATGTAGACTCGGCTCATACTTGTCAATATAGCGACAGAGGGTTGACAATTTGTATCTCCAATATTGGCAGTCATGATTCTCTGTTTGAGGGTAGACTATCACGCAACCCAAATGTATTACGGTGGGGGCGTTCGTCAAGGAATATACCCTGGATGCTCCAGATCTCGAGGGATTCCTTATCTGATGACTACGGTGGCGACATCCACGGCCACTCCACGATTGGAGCTCCACAGGCTTCCAGACCCTGGATCTCTGATCCAACGGTGCCTTGTTTCGGCGGCGAGCCTGGGGGGTAAGTGAGAAGGAGAAGGCCTTCTCAGAAGGCGGCGGGGCTTCTCAGAAGTCATTGCGCCGTCTGAGAGATTTTCGATGTCGGCGGAGAAGGCTCAGAGCATTTCTCAGAAGGCCAGGGGGCTTCCGAGCCTTCTGAGAAGGCCCGCCGCTTCTCACTTCCCCCCCAGGCTCGCCGCCGATTATCCCACGCCCTCACCGTATCGTCCCCCTCCTCATCTTCGTCCTCATCCTCATGGTCGTCGTCCTCGTCCTCGTCCTCATCGTCCTCGTCGTCGTCCTCATGCTCGTCGTCCTCGTCGTCGTCGTTTTCGTCGGCGGCGTCGTTGTCGTCGTCGTCCTCCTCCTCGTCGTCGTTGAGCTGCCGCGGCCCCTCGCCGGCGCCGGGCGCCCGCCGCGGAGCGCCCCCCGCGCGCCTCCGCCCAGGCGGAGGTGGCCCGCCGCCGTTGTCTCGCGGCGGAGCAGCGGGAGGCGGACGCGCAGGAGGGGGTTCCGCTGCGATCCGATCCAATGCGGTGGGGGCAGGCCGGATGTGGGTTCACTGGAGCAGTGGCGAAGCGTCCTGGCTCGCCCATAGGCCCCCCAAGGAATGTTCTAAGAACGACCTGTGCAGGACGGTCGGTCCCTGCTCAACTCATGGGAGCCTGGAACTCTAGGCTTCCCAGATGAGGTCCAAGCAGACGGGGTCGAAGGGTCGCGCCACATCGCCGATGCATCGCCGATGCGGCTCGATGTGGTGCCAGAGTTTCTCCACGCCGATGGCACCGGTGCTTCGCCGACGTCGCCGATGCACCGCCGGTGCGTTGCTGATGCATCGCCGATGCATCGCCGATGTATCGGTGGTGTATCGGTGATGCGGCGCGATCCCATGACCCAATCTACTCCGACCCCATAAGAAGGCCTTTAATGTTGGATGTGCGTTCATGGGAGCCTTGAGCGGCGACGTTGAAATCAGTTTTCTGCTATTGGATCACATTTGGCCCTTCCTCCTGCTCCTCCTCGCTGTTCCGGTTCCCCTCCCCGTCTTCGTTCTCTTTGTCTCCCTTGTGAAGGGGCGATTCAGGTCGAAATCCGGTTCAAATGTTCAAATCCGGTCCCACATGTGTTCCGAAATTGGTCCAAACCAGGCCCAACTCGGACAGCGCCAGGTGCCACGTCGTCTCCCATGGAACGGATACCAAGGGGCATGGGATGAGGAATCAGCAGATCTGGAATTTGGAGCCGTCTGGGTGTCTGAGGTGGTCCAGCACTGGTTCCGGCCAGCACGAAGGGCGGTCAGGTTCGAGGTTCTGGGTTCAGGAAGGTTTGTTGCCTTCTGCGGCCTCCAGGGGCCGTTTGCGGGCCCCTGGACCGTGAAAGACGGATCCAGGGTGAAACTGCACCTGATGGATCCCGGGGAGGGACCAGGAACCAATTTTGCGCGGATTTGGCCTCAGCCCCTTGTTGGCCAAATTTCTAGTGTCTCAACCAGTTCAGACTCAGGGTCTGGAAGCAAGTGGAATTCCAATCGTGGATAGGGCATGGACATCACGGCCGCCCTTATCAGATAAGAAATTCCGCAGGTTCTGAAGCCTCCTGGGCACACTCCGCAACCAACGCCCCCACCGTATCGATTCTTGCCGGCCGGATTCGAGTCGAATCCGGCCAGCATTTGGGACTCACGTAGCGGGGGTTGGCGCTAACGGGTGTCAGCCCATTCCTTCCGGCTGGCCTGGGCTTGGGAGCCACGTGGGGCCGATCAGCTCTGGGAGCTGCTGAGCGGCCGGCCGGGCCTCGCGACAAAGCCCTGGCCAACCCGAGTTTGTGCTGCCCCGGGGTGGCGCATCCCCGAGATCTGCCGACGCTCAAATGCGGCCCGATGCTCGCGCGTCGCTGCTGTGCCTCCTGGCGCGGCCGATCCGACGGTCCCGATTCGATGCTGGCCGATCCTGCAGGAGGCGTGGCTCCCCAGCGAGGCGCGCTTGCTGGACGAGGTCCGCGCGCGCCGGGAGCTGCTCGACCGGCTCCGGAGCAGAAGTGGCCATCGAGGGTCGATGCCGGCTACTCGTAGTGCTGACCTGTCGCCAGAGTGACCGTTGGCGCGGGCCCAGATGGGCCCCCCCAGCACTGGCTTGTGCGCTTGGACTCGGCGTCCCCGCGGCCTCCGAAGGCCAAGGGCCGCCGCGAGGGCGCGGAACGGTTGGCGGCTCGCGATTCGCGACGCCTCATCCTCATCCCCCTCGTGCTCCTGTTCCTCCCTGGGGGGGGGCGGCGCGGGAGCGCGGAGCTATTCGCGCTTCGCGCAGCGCGAAGCGCGCGCCTAACTGCCCTTGTAAAGCCGCGCGCCGAAGGTCACTCTTGCGTACCGACAGTCCAGCTTTCAGCCCAGGAGAACCGACCATCGAGGGTCGATGTTGTTGTGCGCTTGGGGGCTCTGTTTGGGCGTCTAGGGGCGCCCTCGTCGCCACGGCTGGGTCCGCCTAGAAATTCTGACCAGAACGCGCGCCATGAGAGGGCTCGAAGACGACTGTGAGACCTAGGCAAGGAATCATCGCGGATGAAAGAACCTCTAACCCCAATAGCACGATGAAGACGTGGCCTCACTGAGGTCCCCGTCTTTGCATTTTAGGGATAATGAGTATGGGCGGCTTGGTTCGATACATTTGCAGAGACGCAGATCCCCTATCCCTCATGTTTTTGGCCCTCCTAACTTAGGTCCCCTCCCAAAGGGTTAGGACTCCCTTTTTATTTAATCGCTTCGCTCATTCCGCCGGCCCTGGAGCCCTCTTTAGGGCCTCTTGGGGGCCTCTTGGGGACCTCTTGGGAGTCTCTTGGGGCTCCTTGGCGGCGTCTTGGGGGCCCCCAGGGCCTCTTGGGGGGCTTTTGGGGGCCTCTTGGGGCGGGGGGGGGGTAGTCAATTGCGGCTCCCCCTCGGAGGCCACGATCCTCGTGAGGGGTGTCGAAAAACTGCCCCGAAAACCATCTCTGACCCGAGTCTGCCGGGACCCTGCCGGGGTATTTTTCGCCCGGAGACCCCCAGGGGGCCGCCCCGCGCGCGCGAAGTAGAATATTGTTAACCAGTTACTGGAGATCTTAGCACGCCTCTGGCCCGTTGGGCCGGCGAATTGCTAGTCATGGCAGGCCGCGCTGGGCTGCACAGAGCCACGAAAACTGCAAGCGCTCGTGGGCTGTTCTGTCGCTGCCTCCCTCCTCTTGGGCCTACTTTTTGGAGGGGGCGCCCTTGGGGCCACGGCTTCGGCGCACCTCGAGCAGACCTCGCCGCCGGGGCGGGTCCTCTGCGATGCGTCCGCTCGTTTTTTGGGGAGCGGGCTTTCTGGGCGCCGTTATTTGGGGTCACCCGCAAGGGCGCGAGGGTGACGGCTCACCCTCCTCGGAACCATCCCCACCCTTATTGGGGCTGATGATTGTGATGATGATGATGATGATGATGATGATGAGGATGAGGATGAGGATGAGGATGAGGATGAGGATGAAGATGATGATGATGATGATGATGATGATGATAATGATGATGATGACGATTATGATGAAGATGATGATGATGATGATGATGATGATGATGATGACGATGACGATGACGATGACGATGGTGATGATGGTGATGATGATGATGATGACGATGATGATGGCGATGATGATGACAATGATGGTGGTGGTGATGATGATAATGATGATGATGATGATGATGATGATGATGATGATGATGATGATGATGATGATGATGACGATGACGATGACGATGGTGATGAGGTTAGGCTCTCCCAGCGTAACCCCCCTAGGTGGGGATGGGCGCTCCGAGGCCCGAAGGAGACGGTACCCATCCCTACCCATGGGGGGGAAGATAGATTGCCAAGTGGGGCCAAGGTTTCCGCGGCGGGGGTGGGGATTGTTTTTCGCGTCTAGAACGGGGCGTCTTTCGCGACCAAAGACGTGGCCATTATACCATGCTATGCCTGTCCAGTTCTTGGTGGCAGATGGCGTCCCGAACACGGTGCTTCTATTTGCTGCTCGACACTTGGCGCCCAGAGAGAACCAGCCCGCAATAAATACAGTACACGATGTTATGTGACGCTTTTGCGAAGCCCCATGGGACAGGGCCCAAGTGTGTGCAGATTCTAAGCTATAGTGTCGAACGCACACACACATATGTAAATGCGGTTCCCAGTTCTGTCTGTCTGGGCCAGAGAGGTACCCTTCTTTCGGGCAGGCGCGAAGGCGCGGTCCGTGCTTCGCGCTGCGCGAGGCGCGAAGCTAGACTCGTAGAAGCGCAGACATGGATGCAGCGACGGGTTCCGCTTCCGTGCAACATCGACGCGCTCCGTCGCCAGACGAGGCGGCAATGGCTTCATGTTTCGGGGGGGTGCTTTCCCCGATCCGTGTCTGCGCGCGCCCGATGGACCTGGATCGGCGGTCGGCCGTTTCCCGTCCACGGGCGTCACGAGAGAGACCACGGCGGGCGGCAGTCTCAGCTCTGCCCCACCCCCGCGGGAGCCCGCTGCGGGCCGCCACGGGCCATTGTACGGTCATGGCGCTCGGGACCACTTCGGGGCCAGTGGAGGCTCCTGATTTCGGGCCGTTCCTCAGAGCCAGATCGGGTAACCTCTGCGTGGCCGAGGCTGTCCCTGGCCAGGAAAGAGCCCCGTCCTTCCTTGTGTTGCGCTGCTTTAAGCAGCACGTTGACTGTGGGTCGACTCGACACAGACAGTCCCAGGGGGGGGGGCGTGCCAATGACAGATTCGAACGTCTCGGTGTTCGAGGCGTTGCTTCAACCAATCTCCGCTGGAGCGGGCTCTATGGGCAGCGAGAACGCCAAACGTCTCTGAAGGTACCAGTCGCGTTGACAGCCCTGTGTCCCGCCTCTCCCCTTGTCACGTCCCCTGCCCCCTGCAAGGCCACGCGGGACAGGCATGTTTGGGATAGCTTGAGTACCTTGGTTCGCAGAAGATGTGTCATCACAGTTCTGCTCCCGCACGGTTCGTTCGGATTGGAGCCTCAAGGTAAAGGCCAGGGAGCGAAAACACATGTTCAAGACATGATGGTCAAGGAACGGACGGTGTTGTATTGATCGTGATGTTGATTGGCGCTCTGCATGGCGGTGGCGAAGAGGTCAATTCAGGCACGAGCAACACTGCCCTTTGTTCCGGTGTCGACGTCAGGTCGGCCGATTTCACGGGCGCGCTCGGCGTTGGTATTCGTCGTCCGTTCTGAGTGCTGCTGTATCGCGGCACCATGTTCCTGGATCTGCGCCAACCCTCCGCGCTCTTGGTGGGGAAGCTTCGCCCCAGCGACTCCAGACCACAAGGCCCAGATCAGCGGTGACACCCAGGGTCCATTTCGATCCGATCGATTCGATTCGATATCGGCTTTGGCCAGCCTTGTATTCGATACAAATTGTCGGGCGATTCGATGCGTCAGGAGGAGGAGGAGGAGGAGGAAGAAGAACATCTTCCACCTCATCCTTCTCCAAACGTCTTCCTCCTCCTCTTCCTCCCCCTCCTCTCCGAGAAGAAATATGCTCTCCTGCCCCAGCCAGGAGGGCCCATGCAGTATTCCGATGCTGGACCCTGGGATGAGCCTGGCCAGGATCGGTGTAAGTACACATCTGGCGTCCTCCAAAACAACCATCGACAAAATCGATCTCAAAAGTGGTTGACCACTTCAATGTCGCCCCCTTTCACCCGGTTAATATCGCACCCATTATTGTCGAAGTAGAGCGAAACGCAGTCTGGACGGGTACGACTCGGAAGTGTGCCTAGACGACAGATATTGGAGAGGGGGCGCCAACAAACCCCTTGCGCGCGCGACCAGAAACTGCGAGACACATTTTGAGGTGAATGTTGTCGAGGGTAGTAGGAGAACAATCCAAAGTCCCAAAACCGTGCGGCCACCCCGAAGCCCCACTGACTCACCACGCAAGACCTCCGCCGAATGCTTGGTTTTCGGTCCACAGCTCGGGTCTTTGGCGGCCTTTCGGGACGATCTTGGCACCCCGGAACGCCCTCGGCGACGCGCAGCTGCTGGAAAGCATCCCGAGGCTGAAAAATCGCCGAGGGCCGACGAAAACGTCAGAAGTCCTGGGAGCCCAGACCCCAAACGCTTTGATCTGTTCATAACGTCGACCCTCTGCCGAGGTCTCGACCCATTCCCCGGGACCGGTCTTTCATCCCGAGCCGTTTTTTGACGGTCCCGGGGCCCCGGAAGTGCCCCTGGAGGCCGAAAGTAGAGAAAAACCTGCCGTCGTGACTTCTTCGTGACTCGAGGGGGTCTGGGACCCTCGAGGCCTCTCGCCCCCAAACCGAGGGCAGTGCCGCTCTCGCGGTCGCGGCGCGGGCCTGGGCCGCCCAGGCTCGGTACGCAGCTGGCCAACGCCCGCGAGCACCGCCTGCAGCTGCGCAGGGAGCTGGCCGGGCGGGCCCAGGAGGCCCGCGCGGCCTGCGGTGCCCCTCCGCTGGACACCACTGGAGGGCTCACATGCCGACGCCTCCGATGCAGTATTCGGCTTCGATCGACGCCGATTCCGATTCGACTCGAATTTGGGTTGCGATGTGGCCGTCCGCATCTCAGTGTGGAGACCTTGCTGTAGCCTGGCGATTTCCGCCGATACGACCTCTCCCGACTTCTGATCGCCGATTTTCCCGCTGGTCCGATGTATCTCGATCGCCAGTCCAGTTCTCATCGATGTGATTCGATGGGCTCTTCTGCACCGCCCCGCCCAGGGGACCCAGACCCCTGATCGGGCCATGAAGCAACCGCAACAACAAGTATGTCTCGCCTGCATTCCGCCTCCGGGGCCCTTACTGGGCCTCGAGGCCGTCAGAAACCGGCCCCGGTGTGGGCCCCATGAACATGCACCTCTTCTGCCCTCCTCTTTCCCTTCCCCTTTCCTGGGGAAGGCCCGACGTAAGGCAAACCAGCACTGAGGGGCCCAGCCTCTCCCCTTCCCTCCCACAGGTAGCCTCCCTCGCCCCTCCCTCCGCCCCCTGCCGAGATCTGGGGCGCTCTTGGGGCACCGGCACCGAGGGAGTGCTCGTGACGGGGCCTCTTGGGAGTGCCCCGGAAGCCCCGCGAGGCACCTCGGCGATTGGCCTTCACCGAGGGAGGATTCACAGCGCCGGCCACTAACAGTCACTACGTCGCAGCGCGGCAGAGGCGATCCGCGCGAATGAGCCCGCATGCAGGAGGAGAGGAAAGGAGAAAGGGCGGCCGCAGAGAAGAGGGCAGGGCGCGGGGCACACTCACCCAGCGCGGCTGCGGCGGGTGCGCGTGCGCGGCCGGGTTGAAGGGTAGCCCCTGGCAGAGGCTGCGGGTCCGCGTCGCAGTACACCCAGGTGGGGGTCCACCCCGGCCGCTGACAGCCGAAAAGGTATGTGACCAAAAAGGTGCCCGAAATCGTGGACGGAAGCATAGTGTGACCGAAGTTGCGGCCGCGATTGAAACTCGCAGTGGCTTCGAACCAAGCATGTCGGTCACATTCTGGCGCGTTTGAGCGAACTCGGGCGCCCGCTTCGTTCACAGCATGGCAGGTTCCCAGGCACAGCCCCGGTCATTACACCACTAAGATAAAGACGACGCTACGTGAGAAGATGATCCTGATCTCGGCGATGGTGGTAATGTTCGGGCTTCTTTGTTAGGTGGCCGAGAGATCACCACCAGCACCAAAAAGGCCAGGATCATCTTCCCCCGGTAGAGGCAAGCCCCTGTGTTGGCGTTGGTGCTCATGTCCAAGCCCCCCAAGCAGCGGGCGGGGACAACACGCGGAGAAGAAACATCTGCAAGGTCCGCGCGGATTCCGTGGGTCGCCCCTGACCTCTCGACCACTTCCCTGGGATTCGCTTTTCAACTCGAGTCGTTTTGTTGACGGCCTCGAGGCCCAGTAAGGGCCCCGAGAGGCCGAAATCAATGCACAAAAGTTCGTGTCGATTTGTTCGAGACGCCAGATGTCTGGAGACTGGCAAATTCCGATCTGAGGATGTCAGGGACTCTAGCTCCTGGCGCCGCTCCGCCCAGCCTGGCCCTTCTCCCAGGCCCCCGCGGCTGCTGCCTACGGGCGCGTTAGCTGTGTCGCACAGCTTCTTTTCTGCCGCGCCGCCGGCAACCGCACGGCGCGGGAAGGCTCATGGGTGGACTGCGAAGCGCCACCTCCGTTAGCACCCGGAAGGCGCGGTGGGAGGGCGAGGACGGCCCCGAAGCGGGGACTTCGGGCGGGGCAAGGCGTTGCGGTCATTCGCGCAGGGCTCGCGCAGTGATGGGTCTCCAGGCAAAGATTCGAACCCTTACATGTGCGAGGGGATTTCTGATCATCCCCCCCGCCCCCGAAGTCAATGTTGATCTCAGTAAGGTGGTGCTCTGGGAGTTCGGCGCGCGCGTGCTGCATCGCGATCGACGGCGTCGTTGTCCCGCGCCCCCCCGTCGCTGCCCCGCGTTGGAGCTGGCTGGGGCCCTGAGTGGCCCAGCACTGGCTCGGGCGAGCAGGAGGTTCGAGGTTCTGTGTTCAACCACGTGTTTTTCTTTTTCCTATCTCGCATCGTCGGCCCCATGGCTTTTGCTGCAGAACAGAGCGCCCAGATTGCGATTTCGGGTCGCAGTGGGCTCCAACAGTCGCCAGATCGGCGTTTGCGCGCGGAACTCCTTGCGGGGGGCCTGCGTCTCGATACTAGATTGCGGCGGCGTCGGGCAGGCGTCAAATACCCATTTCAGTGCGCTGCGGCCTTTGGGTGCTCAGATTGCGAGTTTGGGTCGTGGCGGCCGGCGTCCAATTGTGCATTTCGGCGCAGCGCGCTCTCGGCGGGCACACCAGATGGTCCCCGGGAGGGGTCTGGAGACCGAGGTTCGTCGGAGTTGCCCTTATCCCCCCGTCTTGACAGATTTCCCCAGGGCCCATCCAGTTTAGGCCCCTTGGCCGCCTCGGAGCCCCACGGGCGCAGGGCGGGTGTTTGCCCGGAGGCCCCGCGCGGACCGCACGTCCACGGGATCGCGCCCCGGAGCTCAGGCTGCATGGACACGGGCTGCCAGGGCCGCTCGCCCGTGCCCCGGCGCTCGCCTCAGGTCGGGCGGCGAAGTCTGTGCATGCCCACTGCTCCCCGGCCAGGCCCATCCCTGGACCCGGGAGCTGTGTGTACGCCCTCCTAGCCAAGCCAGGAGGGCGTGGCGTATACACCGCTGCTGGGTTCAGGATGGGCCTGGCCCGGGAGCAGTGGATACGTACAGATTTCGTCGCCCAACCAGGTGAGCTCCCTCAGGCGGGCTACCGTACATGGACAATATGTTCGAAGCCTGCGGTGCAAGAGATCCCCCCAGACATCCCAGATTAATTTTGAGGGGGCGGCAATGGAGGGTGCTTGCGTCGACTGAACTCTTCAAACCCGAAAACCATCCCCCAATGCCAAACTCAACATATATTTCGGGGGCGGGGGGGTGATGAACATCCCTCTTAAGTGTGTGAGGGTTCGAACAGGTTGTCCATGTGATGTAGGACTAGGATAAATCAGTCCAGAACGCTCTCAGATCTTACTGGAGCGCCCTGACCACGGCGCCTGATACGTCCTCCAGAGCCGCCAGAGCTCAGAGGTCCCCCAGACTTGTCCCGGTCCGATGTTGTCTGGGCCCTGGCTTCGCCTTACTCCTGCCTGCAGCTTTGGGGGCGCCCCGCTCCTGGAAGGTCAAGTTCATAATCGGCCCAGATCCCTGGTCGAACACTGGCCGAATCAGGGAAAATCCATTATCATCTGGTTTGATCCCGCTTCATCTGGCTCAATCCCGCTTTATTTGGCTTGGTCCTGGGTTTAATTTGGTTTACCTGGCTCAATGGCCTCATCCGGCTCATTGGCCGTTTTATCGAGCTCAGCAGCCTTTCGTCGTTTTGACGAAGACTTCCCAGGAGTTGCCTCCTAACCTATGCCGCTGACTTTACGCTTGGCCACCTCAGCGACTTCCACGCGCGGGAGCGGGAGCGAGTAAGAGGAGGAGGAGAGGAGGAGGAGGAGGAGGAGGAGGAAGAGGAGGAGGAGGGAGGAGGAGGAGGATTCAGGAGGAGGAAGAGGAGGAGGAGCAGGAGAGGAGGAGGAGGAGGAGGAGGAGGAGGAGGAGGAGGAGGAGGAGGAGTGAGGAGTGAGGAGGAGGAGCGAGGAGCCAGGAGGATGAGGACCTCGAGTTGCCTCCTGCCCTCCCGCAGGCCTACGGGCGCCTGCTTGCCGGCGGAGAGGCCCGCGAGCGCGCGTCGCAGGCGCGGCCGGCGGCCACGGCGCAGGAGCTCCGGCGACAGGCGCCGGGGTGTGGGCGGCGGGGCGGCACCATCACTCGATGATCCGCAGGACGTGTGCCAGCCGCTAGCCCCGTGTGGTGTGTGTTCGCCCCGTTCATCGAAGAAGAAGAAGAAGAAGAAACCATGAACATAAACTTTGGGCACTCCGCGCGGAATTCTTGGATCCGCGCTGGGCCCCCCTGGCGGCGCCTTTGGCGGCGCCTGGCGCGCTCCGCGAGCCAGGGAGGGGGCTCCAGCGCAGATCCAAGAAATCTGCGCGGAGCGCCAGAAGTTTATGTCTATGCCGTCTTTTCTTGTTCTAGTTCAGCTGCGTGTGGTCGTGATGCCGGTCCGCGCACACTGCCCGGTCGCCTCAGCGCAGGCTGGCCGCTCTGGCCACTCCTGCAGAACCTCTTTCCGCTGTGAGTGCCCCATTCCCCCGCCTGCTTTCCGCGGCCGCCCTCTTCCCTTTTTCACCCTCGTGCTGCCGGTCAATTAGTATGCCACGTGCCCCGGGCTACTAGAGCGCGCGTGCCGATCGCCTCTGCCGCGCTGCGACGTAAAAAAACGTTTGCCCCGTTCAGTTCCGTCGATAGCACGCAGACCGTGTTGGCCCACATTGACTGCGCCGCCTGCGCCGCATTGGAGGGGAGGGCTTCGGTGGACAAACGCACGTTGGCGCTACGACACGTTCCGAGGACCACCGAATCACGAGCAGAAGCTTTCTCTAGGCTTGGAAACGGCTCGGGGTTCCGGCGAGCAGGAAAGGTGACGTTCGAGGCGCTGAATTCGAGAAGGTGTTGTTGTTTCCTTTTGCGGTCTCCGATGCCGTTTTCGGGCGCCGGGACCGTCAAAAATGGATCCGCCAGCTGGGCCCCGGGAGGGGTCCATGGACCGATTTTGATAGGATTTGGCTTCGTCCCCCCGTCTTGACAGGTCTGCTCGGGGCCTATCAGCTCAGACCCCTTGGCCGCTTCCACTACCACGTAGGCCTCCCAGGTGGGGTCCGACTAGATGGGGTCGGAGGATCGCGCCGCACCGCCGACGCATCGGGGACTCGTGCGGCTCGAGTAGGCGCTCGATTTTCTCCACGCCGACGGCGCTGGTGCATCGGCGATGCATCGGCGATGTGGCGCGATTCTCCGAGCGACTCCATCTGCTCCGACCCCATCTGGAGCCCCCCCCCCCCCGCCTTCTCGGGTCGGCACTGGGCGCCCCTCCGACGCTGCTTCCTGCGTGTTTGGAACAAGCGGCGCCCACGGCAGGCTGCTTTCTGTTGGCGCTCGAGCCTCGCAGCCCTGGCAAGGCAGCGTTGGTGCCCATGCGCTTCGTCTCCGCAGTCGCGGGGCTTGAGCGTTTCATCACCTCTCTTATGTGTTTGTCCAACGGTGCGGTTGCGCTGTGAAGCGGGCTGAGCGCCATCGCGGTCGTGACCCTACTCGTTCCCGCCGTCGTCTCTGTGGCTGTTTTGGCTCAGGAGAGTTTGCCACTGGAGCGATCGTCTTCTCCTCCCCTCCCTCCCTCTCCCTCCTGCTCCGTGCTCCTCCCCGTCCTCGTTCCCCTTGTCCCGCCTTCGCGTTGGGATGGGCGGCAAGCGGCGGGCCAGGCCGAGGAAGGACGAGGAGTCCGCCCACAGCAGCCGGGGGCTGCCAAGAGGCGATCCTGGCCAGGGGTGCCCCCAGATCCTCACGCAACTTTTCTGGAGCCCCCGGGCTCCCCTCTGGGCCTCACGAGGTGGGGTCCTTGGAGGCCGCCTGGGCCTCCCTGGAAGAAGCCTGATATCCGACGTCGCGATGCGACGTTGCGAAAAGCTCGAAGCACCCTGAGAAGTCACGACCGGAAGGCTGAGGCCCAATCTTCCTCCGGCACCGTTCCTCGAGCTGGTTCGACCAGCGAGGGCCCCGGGACCCGACTACACGGGCGGGAGTGCCCAGCGCCAGAAAAGCGTGTGGCGCCTGGACCTCAGGCGAGAGCTGGAGGCATCCCGGGAGGGCCCTCCCCCTGGCGGCGCCTGGAGCAGCCCGCCGGAGGTCGTCGGCGGCCCGACGAGGGTCGTCTTCCTCCGCCACGGCCAAGCTTGGCGGCGCCCACAGGGGGGTGGCGCGAGGGGGGTGACCTAAGAGGGCGAGGAGGGGCGTCTTAGAGGGCAGGGTCCTCCTCAGAGGGCCCTGGAGGCTTCTGAGAAGGCTTCTCAGGAGCCAGGCAGGCTTCCAAGAACTCTCCCCCGCTTTTGTTCGAAGCCCCGCAAACTTCAGAGAAGCCCGCTCCTCTCGCATCACCCCCTCGTGGGCGCCCCCGGCAATCGCAGTCTCAGGCAGAGCGGGAGGACGTGCCCGACGCTCCGCTCAGCCAGCTCGGGGAGGTTTCAGATCTTGCGAACGGGGTCCGAGCAGATGGGCTCGGAGGATCGCGCCGCATCGCCGACGCATCGGCGGCACGGCTCGATGAGGATTCCGATTTTCACCGCGCCGGCGTCGCCGATGCACTGCCGACGTCGCCGAGGCATCGCCGAAGCATCGCCGATGCATCGGCGATGCGGCGCGATCCTCCGACCCCATCTGTGGAAACCGCATGATACCGATACCGCTACTTTCCTGGACCTCTGCCAGGGTGCGTTCTGACAAGAATTTCGAGGCGAACCCAGCCGTGGCGGCGAGGACCTCCCAGGATGCTCAAACGGGCGGAAACAAGGGAACGATCTCGGTATTGGTATTTTTTCCAACTCGGACCCTGTTTGGAAGGCCTCTGGAGGTACAGGCAGCCTCTTGGAGGGGGGACCCCGCGGAGGCGCTGGGCGTGGAGGTAGTGCTCGTCTCGCCGCTGCGGCGGGCGGTGCAGACGGCATGCCTGGCTTTCGAGGGCGGAACCCTGCCCATCTCGGAGGGCACCAACTCCGATGTGGCCAAGCGGTTTTATAATAAAGCGGAAAAGACAGAACAACCCAAGTTGGCCCGGGAAGACGGAACAGATAGTTGTGTCACGTCTGGGTCGTTGGTTGTGGCCTGGTGGCCTTGACGGCGACGCCAACGACGAACCGGGAGTCGGGTTTCTATTTCCGCAAATTCCAACGTGTCCAAGCGACAAGACATGGCAGGGACGATTCAAACGTATCTTGGCGAAGGGCCCAATCGTGTGCAAGTGTGAGTACCGCAAGGCAGTTAGGACGAAGGAGGGGAAGCTCCCCATAAGGCCACGAAACGTGTGAGGAGTGTGCCGACATAGGCTGGTGGACCGCATGTGCCACCACCCCCTGAGGGCTTCTTGGATCCGGGGCCACGAAGCGTGTGAGGGGTGTGTCGACATGGGCATGCGGAGAGCAGAGGGCAGAGGCAGTGATCGGAGGAGGGAGGAGGTGGAGGGAGGCGGGGTGAGATGACGCGGGCCGTTGTCTCTGCAAAGCGAGGACCCAGCACCACAGGATGGTTGGGACACGTAGTTGTGTCTCGTCTGGGGCGCTGGCTGCGGCCTGACGGCCTCGACGACGAGGACGACGACGAACTGGGAATCTGTGTTATATATATGTATATATATATATATATATATATATATATATATATATTGCGAAGGCCTTGATTACGGCCGGTGCCGCCGAACCTGAAGGGGGACGACGACGACGACGGCGACGACGACGACGACGACTCTCGCGAGCCCTCGTGGGGGCCCTTGTGGGCCCTGTTGGCCTCGGGACCAACCCCCTGGGACCCCCTCCGGGACCGCCCCCAGCGATCCCCTCCCTGGACCGCTTCCCCCCAGCGGGGAAGGGATCAAGAACCTTCCTTTCGACTAGGAAGGGGCTCTGTCGGGGAGGGGGAGGGGGCTATGCGACCTTTGGGATCCCACCCGAGGAGGGGAGTAGTTGTTTCCCCTCCCCCCGAGACCCCCCGCCACCCCCCTAGGGCGAGAGGGGGGCGTTGAGAAGGATGAGGCCTTCTCAGAAGGCAGCGGGGCTTCTCAGAAGCCCTGCGACCTTCTGAGAAGATTTCTATATATACATATAACGGCGCACCGGGTCCGGGGGCCCGGGGCCGGGACCTCGACCACAAATGTGCACCCCGGGGGGCCCGGAGGCTCGTCGGGGCTTGCCGGAGGCCTCCCCGGTCAGACAAGACGGCCCCAGGAGCGCCCAAGACGGCCCAAGAAACTTCCAAGAGGCCTCCAAGAGGGCTCCGAGATGCTGAAGATGGCCTCCAGACGTCCAAGGACGCCCCCAAGAGGCCCCAAGAAGCCTCCAACATGCGTCCCAAGAGGGCCCCTAGACGCAAAAATTGGCCCATTCCCTTCGTAAAACGTACATTTTTCAACAAAGTTGCTTTTTGGGCTTTCCGACGTTACAGGACGGCCCACGAGGCGCCCAAGACCGCCCCAAGACGGCCCAAGAAGCCCCCAGGACAGCCCAAGAGGGCCCCAAGACGGCCCAAGAGGCGCCCAAGATGGCCCAAGAGGGCCCCAAGACGGGCCCGAGAGGGGGCCCAGAGGGTGACCACGAACCGCAAGCTCGAGCCTTCCGCCCCAAGAGGCCGCCAGGAGGCCCCCAGGAGGCCCCTCAAGAGGCCCCAGGAGACCCCAGACGTCCAAGGACGCCCCCAAGACGCCCCAAGAAGCCTCCAACATGCGTCCCAAGAGGGCCCCTAGACGCAAAAGTTGGCCCATTCCCTTCGTAAAACGTACATTTTCAACAAAGTCGCCTTTTGGGCTTTCCGACGTTACAGGACGGCCCAAGAGGCGCCCAAGACCGCCCCAAGACGGCCCAAGAAGCTTCCAAGAGGGCCCCAGGACAGCCCAAGAGGGCCCCAAGACGGCCCAAGAGGCGCCCAAGATGGCCCAAGAGGGCCCCAAGACGGGCCCAAGAGGGGGCCCAGAGGGGGACCACGAACCGCAAGCTCGAGCCTTCCGCCCCAAGAGGCCGCCAGGAGGCCCCCAGGAGGCCCCTCAAGAGGCCCCAGGAGACCCCAGACGTCCAAGGACGCCCCCAAGAGGCCCCAAGAAGCCTCCAACATGCGTCCCAAGAGGGCCCCTAGACGCAAAAGTTGGCCCATTCCCTTCGTAAAACGTACATTTTCAACAAAGTTGTCTTTTGGGCTTTCCGACGTTACAGGACGGCCCAAGAGGCGCCCAAGACCGCCCCAAGACGGCCCAAGAAGCTTCCAAGAGGGCCCCAGGACAGCCCAAGAGGGCCCCAAGACGGCCCAAGAGGCGCCCAAGATGGCCCAAGAGGGCCCCAAGACGGGCCCAAGAGGGGGCCCAGAGGGGGACCACGAACCGCAAGCTCGAGCCTTCCGCCCCAAGAGGCCGCCAGGAGGCCCCCAGGAGGCCCCTCAAGAGGCCCCAGGAGACCCCAGACGTCCAAGGACGCCCCCAAGACGCCCCAAGAAGCTTCCAACATGCGTCCCAAGAGGGCCCCCAGACGCAAAAGTTGGCCCATTCCCTTCGTAAAACGTACATGTTCAACAAAGTTGTCTTTTGGGCTTTCCGACGTTACAGGACGGCCCAAGAGGCGCCCAAGACCGCCCCAAGACGGCCCAAGAAGCTTCCAAGAGGGCCCCAGGACAGCCCAAGAGGGCCCCAAGACGGCCCAAGAGGCGCCCAAGATGGCCCAAGAGGGCCCCAAGACGGGCCCAAGAGGGGGCCCAGAGGGGGACCACGAACCGCAAGCTCGAGCCTTCCGCCCCAAGAGGCCGCCAGGAGGCCCCCAGGAGGCCCCTCAAGAGGCCCCAGGAGACCCCAGACGTCCAAGGACGCCCCCACGACGCTTCGCGTCACCAATTTCTTCTCACAGCGATTCCTGGGTCTGTGACTCGACAGAACCTAAGCGCGCGCGAAGCGCGCGCGTGGTTCTAGTATATATATATATATATATATATATATATCTTCGAGGACGGCTTAGAAAACTTCTCAGAAGGTTGGGGGACTTCTGAGCCTTCTGAGCAGGCCCGCCCCATCTACAGTGTCGGCGGCTTCCAATTCTCAGTGGGGCGCTGCGACCGTCATGAGGCATTTCCTCATCGCTCATGGTCGCACTGCACCTGCACCGACCCTGTTGAGGCCGATCCGGGGCTCAGGATAGGTGTGTGTGTGTGTGCGTACGTGTGTGTGTGACTGTGTGTGTGTGTGTGTTTGCGTGTGTGTGTGTGTGTGCGCGTGTGTGTGTGTGCCTTCCTGCCGAAGCCAGGAGGGCGCAGACACCGGTCCTGGGCCCAGGATGGGCCTGGCTGGGAGCGGAGTCCGGTGTATATAGCTGGTTGGTGCCCTCCTGCCATCTGCGGGCCCGCGGTGACTCCGTCGGCTGCGCTGCCCCCCTCGGCTGCGCGTGAGACCCACATCTCCATCGATGATGTGATCTTTCTGGCTGTTCTTCGTTCTCGATTTCGAGCCTCGGGGAGACGTTCTCGGGCCCCGGGACCTTCAATCACGGATCCAGGACTGGTCGGGACCTCTGGGGCCACCCGGGGAGCCACCCCTTGCTGCAGTGACCGGGGTGCCCCGATCGCTGAACACGATGATGTAGCAGCGGCTTGAGCGCTCGGGTTTAAACCCCTGCGGCCACCTGACGCCGCGCTTCAGAGGTCACTCTTGCCTAGTGCCGCTCTTGCGCGAACAGTCAAAACCGACGATAAATAAAGGCAACCTTCCCACCGGAACCCTTGCATCCTTGCTTCCTCGGTCCATCTCTAACCACTCGATGGCCAGCCTGCTCGAACAACCTTGACATGGGCGTCCAAGGTGCTTGCACCCTTTTCGCACGTCCTTGCTATCATAGTTGACTGTAGCCGATTCTCCTCCTCCGATCTGGGCGGCAAAAGAGACAGTGTCTCGGCGGCCTCTGGGCGTCTGGCTTTTTTGCTTGGCCGCCATGTGTCCGCTTCCCGGCCTCAGTCAGGATGAAGAGTTGGCCTTGAGAAACAGGTCGAGATCCATCAGGAGGGAAAACAACAACGTAGACATTAATATTCTCCGAATCCAAAGAAAAGGAAATTATGGGAAGTGGAGGGGAAGACAAACATCCAGAAAGTATGGAATTGGGTACCCTGGGATTTGTGTAGATTTATTTGTGTGCCCCTGGGCCCCTTCAGTCCCTGGGGGTGCCGCGTCATCCAACAAACAGAAATTCGACGTCGGTGGAGAGGGTCCTTCTCTTCGCTCTCCGCCCTCTTTTAGGGAAGAGATGTGCAAGGCCATTAATCCATTGATCGTACTCCTACGAAAGCTGGAAGGGAGGCGTTGTCTCATCTGTCCAGGGAGGGGAGCTACCCCTCAAAAGGAGTGGAAGCACCGCTGTTTTGTGATATTTCGATGCGTGCCCAGGCAAGACCTGGTCTCCATGGGTTCCTTCTTATTTTGCCCAGAGGGGATAGGCCCAGGGTTCTTTCGACGGGCCGGCGAATTTATTTGCTATAAATAACAAGGTCGCGCAGGGCCGGCAAATTAAAATTGATGATGTCCCGAGCGAAACGCTGGTTTTGAAATTCCGATCGATAAAACTCAGGGTGCGGGACACATTTGGGTCAGGGGTTCGAATCCGTATGTTTTTATGTGTGTTCCCATAGATTGGCCCTCTCCAGGGTCACGAATCCGTGTGTGTTTACATATGTTCCTATAGATTGGCCCTCTCCAGGAGGCCCAACGAGGGCCCAGGTCACCCAGGGGCCTAGATCATTGGGTACCAGATTCTTTCGGTCGCGGTCGATAGCGACCGATCGGCACTCCTAATCGGTCGCGGCTGATGCCGGAATTTGAAGCTAAGTTGCTAGCGACCGATCACGTCGGTCGCGACCAGAACATTCTGGCATCAAGGAGCAGGAGGGGAGGAGGGGGGGGGGGCAAAGGAGGAGGGGGGGTCCGTGGCACAGTGGCTGGAGTCCCGGGCCCCGCCGTGGAGCTCTGCCGCTTCGCTCGCGAGATGTGGTGGCATGAGAGGAGCAATACGCCAGGCACCCTCGCGGACATGGAGGCGCTGCTGCAGACGCTGCCGCGAGGCGACGAGGTGCAGGGGCTGGAGGAGTGCTGGACGGCTGGTCCGGACGAGCCTCAGGATGAGGATGAGAGTTGGAGCCGGCTGGGGTCGGAGGTGGGCCGGCACCGGTTGCAGGAAGGGTGGTCAAAGTTCCAGGTTTTGGGTTCGAGAAGTTGTTTCGCCTCTTTCGGTCGCCTGGACAGTCAAAAACGAGAACGAGGTGGAAAACCGCATCAGATAGACCCCAAGAGGGTCCGGTGGTCCAGTGACCGATTTTGAGAGGATTTGCTTTTATCCCTCTATCTTGACTGTTTTTTTCCGGGCCCATCCAGCTCAGACCCCTTGGCCGCCTCCAAGATGAGAGCGTGCGCCGACTGGGGGCCGAGCTGGCGATGCGCGGCGAAGAGTCGGTGGCCATCGTCTGCCACTGGGGCGTCATCAACCAGATGTGCAGAGTCAGTGCCCGAAACGCCGAGGCGGTGGTGTGCGAGAGGTTCCCGAGGAGCGGCCACCTGGCAGCCTCCCGAAGTTTCCTCCCGCCAGGGTGCCCAAGGACCTCTTGATGTCGGTGGTGGGCCTGTGCTTCGGAGCGTAGGATGCTCGCGGGGCAGCAGGAGCGCGCGGTCGGCGTCACCCAAACATACTAATACTACGTGTGCGTCGCCCCTACAGGGGCGATGCGCGCGCTGAGAAGTCTTATTGCGCGTAGCACCCCACAGTTGCGGATAAAAGTGGGGGAGCGGGCGCGGGGTGGATCGCTGGTGGGTCGTGGGCGGGTCGCGGGTGGGTCGGGGGGTGGGTCGCGGCTGGCTCGCGGCTGGCTCGCGGGTGGGTCTCGGGTGGGTCGCGGATGGGTCGCGGGTGGGTCGCGGGCCGGGTCGCGAGTGGGACGACGACAACAACAAGCAAGCTAACAAACAAGCCAACAATCAAACAAACAGCAGTAACCAAACTAACAAAAAACAGCACCGCCATCACCATCAACAAAAACAGCAAGAACGGCAACACGATTAACACCAACACAACAACGCAACCACAACAACAACAACATCAGCAACAGCAACAGCAACAGCAACAATGACATCAAAAACAACAACAACAACACCAACAACACCAACAACAACAACAACAGCAGCAACAACAACAACAAACACAGCACCACAACAGCAACAACATTAGTAGCACCAGCAACAATCAAACCACCAACAGCAAGAGAGCAAGAGCAGCAACGGCAATCGCAGCAGCAGCAACAACACCAACATCATAAGCAACGACACCACCAACAACAGCAACACCGACGAAATCAACAACAGCAACACCAACAATAATGAAACCAACAACAGCAAGCAGTTCAAGATTGATTGCTCTTATCTGCTCGCGTGCCATTCACCACGTGTATCCCAAACCATCGATGCCCGCCCTCTTCGCCTGTATGTCGTGCAGCCCCTCAGGCAGATGGAGAGAGGACGGATGGAAGGAAGGAACAAGGGGAGGGATGAGAATGGAGCACGAAAGGGAGTAGCAGGAGAGGGGGCTAGAAAGCAGAAACCACGCGGCAGAAACAGTATGGCAGATCGGGTGGGCAGACCCTAGAGGGCGGCTCGGGAAGGTGGGCCCAGGCGGCCAGGTTTAGAAGGTGGGTTGTTGAAGCGTGAGCCCTTCATGAATCGCGAGGAAGGCTCGTGCGGAAGCGCGAGTCCCAATTAAATCTTGAGGAAGGCCAAAGCGAGAGCGTGATTCCTGAATGTCGGGGGCGCGGTGCCTGACTAATTTACAAGGAGGTCCTACGCGAGTGCGCGATTCCGACATACATTGTGAGGAATCGTGCGCGAGAGCGCGATGTTGGAAGACATTGTGAGGAAGTGTTAGACAGAGGCCGTTGTTGTTGTAGCCCGGGCCAAAGATGCAGTTTAAGCACGAAGGTTTTTGTTGATAGAATCCGGGTGCGAACCCCGGGAGGGACATTTCAATTGGAACATACATTCTGCCCCAGAGGGTGGGATCAACCGCATTTATATGATAAGTGAGAGTCCAACAACAACAGCAACATCAATGGCAACATCACCAGCAACAGGAACAGCACCAGCAACAACAACAACAGCAACAGCAATCGGTTGAAACAAGTTTGCTCCTATCTGCCCGCGAAATCAACGAGTAATATCCCGAGCTCTCGGTACCCGCTCTCCTCGTCTTCGATCGTACCCCCATTTGGGGGTACATCTTCCTTACCTGCCACGTGCATTTAGCGCAGCCCCTAAAGCAGGGGAATCTCGAGAGGACGGATGCGAGAGAAATTAGCAGGAAGGGGGCTAGTGAGCAGAAACCACGTGGCAGAACCAGACGGGCAGATCGGGCGGGCAGACATTAGCGGGCGGGTTGGGAAGGTGGGCCCAGGCGGCCAGGTTGAGAAGGCGGGTTGCTGAAGCGTTAGTCCTGCATGAATTGCGAGGAAAGCTCGAGCGAAAGCGCGATTCCCAATTCAATCGAGAGAATGACCAAAGCGAGAACGTGACGCGGTGTCTGAATACCTTGCGAGCGAGGAATCTTGCGCGAGAGCGCAATGCTGGAATTCATTGTGAGGAAGTATCAGACGGGAGCCATTGATGCTGTAGCCTGGGGCCAAGTACACAGTTTGAGCACGAAGGTTGCGTCTGATAAAACAGGGTGCGAGCCCCGAGGGCGGCACTTCACTTGGAAAGACAATGTCCACGGGTGAGGGGGCACCAGCCATACTTGTTCTTCAAGAATGGGAATTCTGCAGCAACAACAACAACGCAACAGCAATCCGAAGCGCGGAACCCCGCTTCAGCCACGCACCCACGACCAGTGAATGACCGTTCGGCCCCCTCACCCTGATACGCTCCATGGCGGGCTCGTTCTGCACTACAAGACGGTTGTACTATATGTTGGGATCGGACGCGCGACTCCGAGGAGGACACGTAGTACTAGTATGTCTTTGTGCGCCCCATGCGTGCGGACGGGATGAGGAGAAAAAGTCCCGACCATCGTCTCGATGTCCAGCGCCACCGCCGTCAGACCAGAAACCAGTGCTGTCCTCGCCGCAGGCCCGTCGCCGCCCGTACCCTCGAGCCGCGCAGAATTCCGAGCGGGCGGCGCTTCGGCCAGCGGTGCCGCGCCAAAACAGCTGCAGCCAAGAAGCTGAAACGGACAGCATCGGGTTCAGGAGGGCCTCCTGTTTCCGAGCCGCTTCTCATATCGAGGTCGAGCAGTTTGGTTGCGGCCGAGGCTCACCGTGGCCAGAAAAGCCTCTTCTTCGTTCTTTACTCGGCGTTCATCATGGTAGCACGATGGCTGGTAGCACGTGGTCCGCGCGGGTTTCTCGGCTGCGCTTGCCACCCCCTGGGGCCGCATGCAGCGCCGCCCTTGGCGCGCTCCGCGCGCCAGGGAGTGGTGCTCAGTGCCGATCCAAGAAATCCGCGCGGACCTCTAAATGTTTATGTTCATGGCGTGTTAGACTTAAGAGGCTAACGCCATTCCGCCGACCCCCAGAGGAGGCAAGGAGTCAACAGTTCACCATCCATTTGGGCTTGATTGAAGCTTTCGTTGGCAGTCCAGTGGCCTTCGGCCCGTCCCGCCACTGTGCCTGGCTTGTGGGTCAGAGGCTGTGTGGACTCCAGCAGGGGTCGCTAGGGAAGCCTCTTGGGAGCTTCCTGGAGGCAGTTGTGAGGCCGTTCTGGGACCGTTTGGGGGCTCTTACGGGCCTCTTGGGAGTCTCTTGGGGCTTCTTGGTGGTCTATTTGACTTCTGCTTGCGGTCTCGGGTCTCCTCTTGGGGCGGAGGGCTCAACTTGTCAGCTTGAATTTCCTTTTTAGGCCGCTCTTGGGGCCCTCTTGGGCCGTGTTCAGCGCCTCTTTGGCCGTCTTGTGACCTTCGTGGGCCGTCTTGGGACCCTCTTGGGCCGTGTTGGGCCCCTCTTGGGGGGCCCTCGAGCCGTCTTGGTGCGATCTTTGGGGGCTTTTGGGGTGTTTCGGACGCTGTCAAAACTAAAAAGGCGAATCTACTAAACATACAGTTTTATCATGGGATTAGGACGATGTGTGACTCTTGGGGCCATCTTGGTGGTCCTCGCGGAGCTCTATTGGGGCGTCTTGGATGCTTATTGGACCGTCTTGAGGCTATCTAGGGTGTTTTTGAGACCTCCTCGGCGTGTTGAATCCCAGCTTGCGCAAGCTGTGATGGAATACTAGGCAGCTTGGAGGCAACGGAGTGGACATTTGAAGGCTCCAGAGGCCCCAGGGGTGCGTTGGGGAGCCCAGAGACACCCCCCTCCCTAGCCCCCTCCCCTTCAATCGGATTTCGAACCCTGGGGAGGGGGAAGGGGGCAGGGAGACAGCCAAACGTCTCACACGCGTTGTCACCCCCGGCAATCGGGGGTCGGGGGATTCCTTTCATTGAGCCATGAGAGGTCTGCCGGAGGGTCGTAGGTGAGCATATGTGATAATTAGCGCTTCGCACGTCGCCACCAGCCCATGCCAAAACGGTCACTGGGCGAGTGGCCCTGCTCAGGTGTGCGTGGCAGCATGCAGTCACGCTCTTCGGGACATCTTGTGGTCATGTTGGAAGCGCCTTCGGGGCCTTCTTGGGGCTCTCTTCCGCTTGGGGGCCTGAGGGGCGCTTTTTGGGCTGTCTTGGAGGCCATCGGTCAAAGAAGGTGGTGGTTTTAACTGCAGCCCCCCCTCCCGTCGGAGCCGAAACGTTGCCTCTTGGGAGCGCTCTTTGGGAGAGGTAGTAAGAACGGTCCCGATGGTGGGGTAGGGAATGGAGAGGGTAAGGGGAAGGTTTGGGGAGAGAATTCCTTGAACGACCTGCGCCCAGATGGCTGGTGCTGTTGCAGGGTCATTTGCAGGGTATTTCAGGGTGGTATGGCAGGGTCGTTCGCAGGGTATTGCAGGAGTCTGGTTTGCAGGATATTGCAGGACGACCGGTGGTTGAAAACGGGCACGCTGGAGGACCTCCAGTTTCTGTTGGAAGTCGCCCGACGGTTCGACGCCGCCGTGGGGTTGACGAAGAACGACGGCGACCGGCCCATGCGGGCAGGCTCCGGTTCCGCCGAGCACCTGGGTGTGATCGCCCAGCCGGCGTCCGGCGCCCGGCCACAGTTGCCGCCGCCACGAGACGGCTGGGGCCCCGTGGTGGGCGCCGGCGGGTTTCAAACGAAGAACACAGAGCCCGCGGTTCGCGCGGTGGCACCTGCGGAGGGCGGCCACCCTCTCCTTGCCACCCCCCACCCTCCTGGCTCGGGCTGCGGCGGCGGTGGCGGGGCCAGGTCGGAGCCCTTTCTGCCTCCGGGGGGCGCGGGGGTGTTGGGGCCGAGGTAAAGGCACGGCACTGGCAGGCATCACAGTTGCTCTGGCGGCCTCTGAGCAGGCGTAGAGCGTTCGCCCCGGCCAGAGGCCGGGGAGCATGCCGCAAGGCCGAAGGACGCCTAGTTACCGCATTTTCATGTCTCGGATGTTGCAGAATCGTTCCACATGGTGTTGCAGGGTATTTTTGCAAGGGTCTTTGCAGGGGGCTGTGCAGGGAGGCCAAGGAAGAGGGGGTAGTGGAAGAGGGGTACATTTATCCCCGAAGGAGAAGAAAGATATTCAAAGAGCTAATTCGTCAAGCCACCTACGCCTGAGGATCTGCTGAGGTTTTCGGTCCACCATTAAGCGTGCGCGTGCACGGAATCTTCGGACGCAGGCGGGTCCTGAAGCATTCGATCAGGTACGGCATTGCCAGCAGCTTCAGAAGTGTGCACGCCGTCATTCCCCCTTCCACCTCCAGTGCCTGTGCCGAGTCCTCTCCCGCTGTGACCCTAAAGTTGGCCCGGGTCGCTGACCTGGAGAAGCGATGGTGATAACAGCAGGAAGACGGGGAAAGGCCAGGGAAGGAGTCCGAGGGAGATGAGCATGGGCAGACGAGGGAGGAGCAGGCGGAGGAAAATGGGTGCGCTCAATTTGAGACAGGAAAACATTGACACGCAGAACGTTGGCAGATATCGGCATGCTCTGCGACGAACCCAGCAAAAGACCATCTCAATATTAAGAGATAACATCAGCCTATGATGCCTCGAGTGTGAATTCGCGAATACAGAAGAAGGCGGGGGAGAGTAAGAAGGAAGAGCTGGAAGAGGAGGAGGAGGAGGATGAGGTGGAGGAGGAGAAGGAGGTGAAGGAGGAGGAGGAGGAGGAGAAGGAAGAGGAGGGAGAGAGGACCACGACGTGGAGGAAGTGGGGGGATGGGGGGGTATCCAGGCACGTCATTGTGCTCTTGGCCCCATAGTTATAGCCCAGGGCGTTCGTTCGAAATGACCTGCTAGTTCGCTATTGGCGGCAATGCTTCGCTTCCTGGAATCTGAGATCCCAGATGTGGTGCAATCGCTCGCGCCACTGTCAGTCGGCCCGCCGGGTTTCCTCGAGGTGTCGTCAGTAGGTGTTCCATGGCCTTTCGGGTTCAAGACGCACTTTGTGTTAATTTGTTTTGGATGGTGAACCAATTTGAAAGGTACACTCGACCTTGCCAGTCGGAGCTGGCATGGAGGTCACCGTTCTGGCGCCTCCAGTCAGATGTCCGAGGCTCTGCAGAAGCGATGGTCAGCTGGCACATGGATGTTTATCATACGGAGCAGTTGTTGAGCTCTGCCTGACGTTCGGGATCGTCGTGTGCTCGGCGATGCACAGCAGCGCCAGCTTCGAAGAAGCCTCCGCCTGGGTGCCGATGGCGTCGCTCACCGTGGCGAACGCTTGCAGGAGTGGAGTGGCCGTCGTGGCGCAGCGTTTCAACCGTTGGGGGCCGGCTGCCGCCCTGTCCTTGCTCGTCGCCTCATGCGCCATACTCGTGTGGCACGTACTCATCATTGACAGCTTGCTGCGCTCGTCGCAACCTCACAATGATCAGAGCAATGGCGCAGAAGTGCTGGCTTTCATCCTGGCCTTGGCCGCCAGCGCGTTATCCACCACCATGTGGTACGCGGCCACGGGTTATACACACATCCTGACGGACAAGGGCGAGGACCCGCCGCCGAGGCCAGAGGTGGAAACGTTCGTGGTCCACGACGTCGGTTCGGAATGTTTGGGCTCTATCTGCGCCATCTGCCTGGAAGAGTTCTCACCTGGCTGCCTTGCAGGAAAGCTGCCTTGCACTCATGTGTTCCACGACCGTTGTGTGCGCAGCTGGCTTTACACCGGATCTTTCCTGGCTAGGTGCCGGTGCCCAATGCGTTGCCCAAACGATGCAGGCGCAAACCAAGGCAGTCGCCCTCGTCAGAGTGAACCGTCTATACTTCTTGAGAGTGGACGTTCCACATTTGGAAGAGAGGTGGACTCCACAATATGGGTTGTGCCATGGTAGCGGGGCGGGACTGAAGCCACGGCTGTTTGCGCTAATCTATATAGGCGTCGTGCTGGATCCATGAAGGGTCGCACGGTTGATGTTTTTGGCGCGGCTCGTTGTCATTGATCAATTTTGTTTCGTTATCGGCAGTGCCGCTTCTTAATAGCAGCGGACGTTCACGCAGCACGGAGGTTTGATTCTCGATTGGTCCGCATACCAATCTCTTGCTGGGTGGTTCTTCGGATAGAATCTGCGTTCCTCTGACCGCGGCGCAGTATTGATGACGTTTTTGAACGAAACGGAAGACGACGTCGTCAAGGACGACGATGACGACGAAGAGGACGACGACGACATTGAAATCAAGGACGACGACAACGATCAAGACGACGTCAAAGATCAAGGACAACGACGACGACCGCGACGATGACAATGGCGGCGGCAACGACAGCGACGATCCATTCCGCGACCCAGCTCCGAGTGGAGACGTCGTCGTCGTGTCTGGACATCCGAAGTGGGTACAGAAAAAATGGGTACGATGCCCAACAACAACTGTTGTCCAAAACCGGCAGCGGCCGCTGTTGGGCAGACGGCCATCTGTCTCAGATGGACAATGTCCGCGGCGACGCCGACAGCGAGCCTTGCGCAAAATGGACAGAAATTTGTGTCGGTTTTCGTACCCATTCTTTTCGTACCCAGTTCGATCGCACCAATGTTTTCGCTCCGAGTCTCTTACTTGTCCTGTTTCCCTGTGCGCATCGTCTCCCCCGTGATCGCCACCAAGCGCTGTCCTCGAGGTAGGCCCGTGTCAAGGGCAATTGGAACCAAGCCTTCCAGGGGGCATGGCTGGCCTTGGCGCACATGAGTTGCTGCCGTTGGTCCTCTCGTTCTCCTTGCTCTTCCCCAGACATCCGGGCGTGCCTCAAAAAACGAGACATTGGTTTTCATAGCCTCTGGGGGCCTTTACAGGGCCTTGAGACCGACTTACATCGACTCGGAAGGAAAATCCAGTCCCAGGGAGATGGTCGAGGTCGGGGGCCCGTGTCTCGAAAAATTCTGGACGTTGGATGTCTGGGTCTGTCGCTCCTCAGCGGACAGATGTTCACGCTGTATCGCTTGCCAGGACATGTCGGCCGAGGAGACCAGAGAATTCATTAACTCTGGGTTCCCTCGCTGCGCTGGCATCTGAAGTTCAATTGGACACTGCGCTATGAAGAAAATATTCCTGTTGTCTCCGAAGTGATTCCTGATAGGCTCCCGCAGTTCCTAGACAGAGTGCGCTGCAGGGCAGTTCGTCTTTTCCGTCTGCCCGCAGCAAGCCTTGCCACGGTGCCAGCGCGGCATAGAAATCGATAAAGGATATTTCCACCGAGCTCTTCCGTAGAGGCTCGGTGGATCCATCTTGGGGTTGTCCAGATGGCAGCGCTACTAGCTTGTTGCGGCTGCGACGTAGCATGGCTGGTATTTGAGGAGTACTTAGAGGCCTATTGTGGGCTGCCTGGGGACCTCTTTGGGGCCTCTTGTGGGCTTCGTGTGAGTTTCTTTGCGGCCGCCGCTTGCGGACTTCTGAAGGGCCTTATCGTGGCATGGTGGGAGGTCTGGGAGCCGTCTTGAGAGCAACGCTCCCATCAAACAATCCTGAGGAGGGGCCAGATTGGGACCCTCTTCTTGGGGCGGCCGAGGCTATGCTCGGGGGATCGTCGGGCCGTCTGGGTTCGCTTTGGGGGCTGATTGGGCCAGCTTGAGCCAAGCAGTGTCAGACCAAAGAACGAGGAGAGCCGGTTGTTTGTGAGTGGAGGTTTCTGGGTATCGTTGAGCTTTCGGGTAGTCTGTTGGGCTGCTTGGCTTGCACTCGTGTTGGTGCCGTTCTCGAGGCCGTCTTGGAGCTCTAATTATTGGGTTGGTCTTGCGTCGACTTCGGCGAGCGATCTCTTGGGTACGCTTATGGCGAAAGGGGGGAGTCCTTGAAAGCTACAGAGACCCTACCATACAGCCCAAGCAGCGTTCTAGCACGCCCACGCGTGCCGAGGGTGCGGTTGCGGGTTCACTGGAGCAGTTGATGTGGAGTGGTCTTGCTCACGCGTGGCCCCTTCCTGGATCTCAGACTTTCAGGATCAGATTTGGTTGCTGCGGTTCGCTTGGCCCTTCGAGGCACTTCCGCGGTGGTCATCTTGACCCTGGCACTTCGGACCTTCGGGGCTTGGCTTGGCTTGGCCTTCTCCACGATGTGGGGCGATTGCTGGAGTTGTAGTGGCCCGTCATGGACATCTGGTGGCTTTGGGAGCTGGGGAGTCGATGTGGAGTCCCCCCACGCTCGAGGCCCTCCTACCCTCCCGCATCCCAGTCGCTGCTGGCTGCGGCCCAATTCCCAGAATGCCCGTGCTCTTTCGCGGCCTCCTCGCGGCCCTGTGACCTGCTGGATCTGACTCGGTGGCCCGAGTCGTCGTGGGGATTCCTGGCCCTATGGTTGCCCTATGGCTTTCTGGGTTAGCTGCCCGAGTCCTCGGTGGTCCTGGGAGCATGATCGTCCAGGAGTGCACCGATACCGAATCCACGATTTGTTGCCTAATGTCTGGATCGGCGTGTCGCTCGTTCCTTGTGTGAGGGCGGTGCCAGGAGTCCGTCCAGAAGAAATGTGTCCTGTAAGCGGCGACGTGGCACACGAAGCGTCGGGCAGCGACAGCTGGGGCGGGGCAGAGCTCATTGCGCATCAAATCGAAAGGGTAAAGGAGGTGAGCGGCCGCGGAGGAGGGCGAAGGTGGGCGCCGTGTTCAGAGCGTGCAGCACTTTGCGCGAGGTGCAAGCGGCCTCAGGCGCTAGCAGAAGTCATGCGTGCATCCAGAGAGACATCAATCGGATTTGCGGCGGGAGAGAGGATGCCCCCCTCTTCCCTCCCAACCCCTTCCTCCAGCCTCGACTCCCCTCCCTCCCCCTCCCACCTCTCCACAGCCTGATCGGTTGAGCGGCCGAGTAGAGATTCGCAGCCACGGGCTGCTTGCGCATCGTTTGATCGCGCCCCAGCTGGCCAGTCGACGAGAGCTCTGATGCGTTAGGATGATTGGTTGTGTATGTGTGTATGTCGCTTGTGCCTTGTCGTACTTGTCCCCCCCCCCTCGCTGGTGCGTGCCCACCCGTGAGGTCGCTGTTTTTTTCCCGGAAAGGGCGGGGGCCCAGGGTTCTCGTTTAGTCGTTTACCCCCGGTTTTGACTTCAAGGAGGCTGGCGGATCTCCGCTCGACAACAAACTAGGTAAAGTCCAATTCGGCGTGAACAACATGCGTTTCGCGCGTGCCCGCTCGACCTCGGATCCTCGATAAATAACGGGGTCTGCGGACCACCGTTCTCCTTCGTAAAAAATTGTGCGGGCCATTTTTAGCAGAATCTTCAAAAACATGAAGACTGGAGCCCCGACCGCGACGCGGAAAAGCGTCCCGCGCGCAGGAATTCCGAGGATGTCTCGCGCGTGCCGCGTCCCGCGCGCAGGAATTTCGAGGATGTCTCGACTAACTCCTTTGTTCCAGGAAAGGGCATCAGCCCATGGTTCTCTTTTAGTTGGTTTGCCTCCGGGCTTGGCTTGAGGTGGGCCAGCGAATTTCTTTTGCGATAAATATCGAGGTCGAGGTGGGCCGGCCAATTATAATTTGAGGATGTCTTTAGCGAAACGCTTGTGTTACAGAATTTGTTGAGGATGTCTCGAGCGAAACGCTGGTTTTGTGTTATTGATTGTCCTTTCCTGGGGGCCCGAATTCAGAGGATCTCTCAAGTGAAATGCTTGTGTTCGCGTGCCCAGGTCTTGAGGATATCTCGAGCGAGACGCTTGGTTTCACGCCTTCAGGTTGCCCAGACAGATGTCTAGCAAGGACATGTGCTGAGGATGTCTCGAACCAGAGGCTTGTTTTCACGTGTCCAGGTTGCCCAGGCGGATGCCTAGCATCCTCGATGTGTCGAGGAAATTTCGATCGAGACGCTTGTTTGCACGTGTCCAGGTTGCCCAGGCGGATGTCTAGCATGAGGATGTGTTTTCACGTGTCCAGGTCGCCCAGGCACAGTACAGCCCTCGGCACGGTACATCAATATCGATACCCTTAGCATTGCAGCCTGGCATGTTGCTTGGCACGTTCCGCGGAGCGTCCCGTGGCGAGTCCAGCTGGCACGTCGCGCGTTGCACGTCCATTGGCACGTTCCGTAGCGCGTCCCCTTGGCACGTCCCGCGGTGCGTGCCCATGGCACGTCCCCTGGCACGTCGCCTGGCGCGTTCCTTGGGACGTTCCGCGGCGCGTCCTCCTGGCATGTCCCCCTGTCGATCAGTTCTGGGGCAGCTACCATCTGCCCAGGCAGCTCGAGCTTAAGGTCCAGATCAGTTCGGTCAGGACTCGGATGCAAATGAGGACTCGATCCACAACCCTATATAGAGCACAATCGCGGCATGGCACATCGCAGTTCAGCACAGACCAGCACAGCACAGCCGTCGGCACGGTACATCAAGATCGATACACTCAACATTGCAACCTGGCACGTTCCGTGGCGCGTCCCGTGGCGAGTCCACCTGGCACGTCGCGTGGCGCGTCCCCTAGCACGCCCCGCGGCACGTCCATTGGCACGTTCCGTAGCGCGTCCCCTTGGCACGTCCCGCGGTGCGTGCCCATGGCACGTCCCCTGGCACGTCGCTTGGCGCGTTCCTTGGGACGTTCCGCGGCGCGTCCTCCTGGCATGTCTCCTCTGTCGATCAGTTCTGGGGCAGCTACCATCTGCCCAGGCAGCGCGAGCTTAAGGTCCAGATCAGTTCGGTCAGGACTCGGATGCAACGAGGACTCGATCCACAACGCTAAAGAGCACAATCGCGGCATGGCACATCGCAGTTCAGCACGGCGTAGCACAGCACAGCCTTCGGCACAGTACATCAATATCGATACATTCAGCATTGCATTTGCCCGTCGCCCAATGCCATGCGATGCATTACATTTCTATATTAATTTCTGGGTTCGTGGGTCGATCATGTTTTTCAGGATTTCTTCGGCCACA